ATTAGGGTCAGATCCCTGGTCCAGCAGCTCTCTGACAGCCTCTACATCTCCCTGCAGGACACATAGAGAACAACAAACCTGAGGTCAAAACCGCAGACCTGCAAATGAAACCCCTCAAACACAGTCACTGATCCCAGGTCAGCAAAGCCCTGCTGTTTATCAATCGCACTCCACAATGTGCCATTGATTACCTTGTCTGGAATCCAGGGGGGGGGATTACTGCTGTGTTTACAAGGATTACTGCAAGACAGTTTTATTCTCAACAGACTGGAACACTATGGTCCGATCATCTGAGGACTAATATGTCTGACAGAGGGAGGAAAACCAACACGAAAGAAGCCTTTTACCCCAGCAGATTAATCGTACATGCTAGAAACTACGGTGTAAAAGATGAAGGGGACCAGTTTGCATTGTAAAAATCAAAATTTAACAGACATGAATTAGCATTGTTTTTGCTCATTGGTTGTAAAAGAAAAGAAAAGGAAGGGCAGCAACATTTACACAGGATGCCATTCTGAAACACTACTATTATTCAACAGATGAATTAAGTGTATAGAATTTTAGATCATGTGTTAATATTTTATGGGTTTTTTTGTAAGGGAATTGTCTTTTTCTTTAGCTTAAATTGAAAATATGAGGAACATGGATAACTTCATAGCTACCTATAAGATACTACACGAAATCACACTCTATTCAGTTTGTAAAAGTCAAAGGTCTTCTGAGGAGACTTTATCCTGACCTGTCTTTCAGCTTTTCTCAAATCACTGATAATGACAGTTGTAGTTGAACAAAAGATCTCTAAAATTAAGTATCCTTGTATCTTTAACCTAAAGCTAATTTGAAAACGGTAATTGTGGGAGCTTTTTATTCAGCATGGTATTCACTTTAATTTAAAGGTAGGTTTTATCAGTTTCATATATTTTAGTTCTTCATTTAAATAACTTTGAAAACACTATGTGAAAATATTACCATTTATATAAAAGGGCAGAAAAGAGAGGGTTTGTATATTCAACAAGCTACCCACTTTTATAGCAGCTAGATGCAGCGGGGTCTCTCCTTTGTGGTTCCTCTTCATAACTGCAGGGCTCCCTGAGGTGGGCCATCCAGAGGACGCACCAGGAGACTTTTTACCAACAGCGGCTAAGAAAGAGTGCCTGTCTGCTGGCTCTCGTCTTGGTGATTTCTTCATGCTCTTATCACACCTGGGGCTGGTTGAAGATGGAAGGTTTAGGATGGCGGGAGACATCTGTGATTTTCTCCTCCTGCCTGGGGAAGCCCGGGGCCTTTTAGGGGTGGTCTCCAAAGGAGTAACTCTTTCTTCTTCTCTGGATCTTTTTGAGGAATGTTTTTGGGTAGTTGTGTTGTCCTGCTTTTCAGGATTGCCAGCTGGGCTCGGGTCATCTGCAGGCAGTTTGTCATTGTCTAGCATGTTCTCGCAATGCAGAGTTTGGTCACTGGGCACAGTGACACTTCTCTGTGAGAGACTCAGCCCCATGGTGCTCTTGTCAGGACTCTGTTCCTCAGTATTCTGCTTTGGAGCTTCAGGCTGAGGCCCTTCAGGTAAGACTGGAGGGCTTAAGAAGGAAACCCTCTTACTAGACCTCCTTGCCCCTTCAGCACAGGGCTGCTCCTTCTCCTTACAGGCATCTATCCCCTCACTGAGTCCCCACTGCTGGTTTATAGCCTCCAGCCTGCTCTTCTTCATCGTCTGTCCGGCCTGTTTTCTCGTGGTCCTTGGAGCTACCTGCACTGACACCTTCCTGCTGGCAGTGTTTTTCTTGGTTGACCTTTTTTTTTTGTTCAAGTTTCCACTTTCGCATCCTTCTGAGCAACCAGAGCCCGAGTCTTGAGACGACGAGGTGAAATTGAAAACTGACAGGTCCTGACCTCGAGCGGTAACAGAGTCTGGCTGTGCTGTAGCTGCTTCTGTAAAAGGCCTTCTCTCGGGCACAGTGACCTCTGAAGGCTTCTCCACCATGCAGCGTACCTTGCGGCTGCGGGGGCTGAACCAGATCTTGAAGTTCTTCTTGTGTTTTAATACAGGACTCTCAGGTCGTGGCGGTATCTCAGCAATAGAGGAATCTGCAAAAAAAAACAAAAAAAAAAAACACACACATATGCTTGTATTTTTTTCCATCACAAATGATAGTCAAACAAGCTCTTTGTATTTGTTATAATCTTTTCTGTGTGGTGAGAGAAAATAACTAACAAAACATTTTAACTTTATGCACACAGTCAAAACCAATTAATCTGGTATTTGACAGAAGTATCAAATTAAATTGTGAAATCCCTGCTTTTCCTTTTAAAATCATACTCCACAACATTCTGCATTTTTGTTCATTTTTACCTACAGGGCTTGGAAAGTTGCCCTGTAGTTCTTTGTCAAAGCAAAAACGTACTCCCAAACACCTCTGTGGTTAATTGCAGAGCATAATTACTGTCATTACCAGGATGCTCAAAGGGCGTTGACGATAATAAACCACAGGAGCAAGCCACTAATACTGTCATTCAGAGATTAGATTGGAGGAGGAAAATGTTAAATGTTTGGGTCAACAATCGATAGAAGGAGGTGTGGGCTGATGAGTGTGGGGATTGTTAATTATACTTTCAAGCTGTTATATAATGGCTAAGATGTACCCGTTTTCTCTATGGGACTGAGCAGGGACTCCAAACCGCAGAAGAGCTGCACGATGCTGCTCAGCTGCCTGTTGATTTGGATGTCCTTCACCCATGCAGGGCTGTGACACACCGCGCAGCCGTCTCCTGCCCGGGGGCCCGCACAAGACCTAAGCAATAAACAAACCTTGGATTAGAAGTCAGTCTACTTCACAGTTGAGTAAGAAGAAATACAATGAGCTCATTGATTAGCTTTTTAATTGATTGACCAGTCAGTCACGAAGACAAGGAATGACTTGAGGCTAAAGTTTCTGTCTAAATGGACATGAATACCTTCAAGACTTTTATAATATAAGCCATGCACTACAAAGAGACAATGCCTTTACAGACAACATTATGTGCACAAAAAAACAAGCCTAAAGTAATAACACAAGAGGTACTTGTTAACTACAAAGCCTGCCACGTATCAATCATTTCTAAAAAAAAAAGAAAAAAAAAAAAAGAAATTGAGCCATTAAATTACTTTTTTCCTACAGTATGAGAGGGACATAAGAAGATTAGCTGTGTTAAAATCAATCACTCGTAAGTTTTCAAAGTAAAACATTTATTGGCCTTTTAGAAATGATAAAGTTAATAACAGAACACCACTGAATTACTTCAAATATCTATACGTCTATATGTAGGGAACCAAGACTCTGAGTGAGACTTGCAGAGGACACAAAAAGAAATATGTAGGTGGAAAAACTCCGCTGTGCATAGAGCTGTGATGAAAATGGTATCCACACCTGTGTTGTTCAAACAAAAATGTTCACAACGAGACAGGTCTATTGCTCTGTAAGTAGGTCAAAGAACATGTTACATTACCTGCAAAGCATATGCTCACACATCCCAAGACACACAGGTTCCTTCATTAAATTTGAGCTGGGAAATAAAAGAAACAGAGCACATACTCAGTATAGTTAAAATAGGGGAGTGAACCAGCACTCCTCAGCACTGTGTTGCTCACAGTGACACCCCTACCCTTACAGATGGACAGTGTTAACCTGGCATCACGGCATCCTGTGTAATGGCCAATTATTTCATTTCATGCAGTCATGTTTGCCATCTTGCTATTTCCTCACACAGCTGATATTGCAGGGTCTTTTTACAGGATTGTATCCTATGGCATAGGTTTTTATCAAATATAATATATGAAGAGCTTGTCCATCCAAATGATAAACAGCATTCAGGTTGTGGGTAATTGTGCTTATATTCAGTAAATTAGATTGCCATGTAGTCTGCTGTTACTGTTGCTGAGTGGTTTTGATAATTCCTGCTTTAGAGCAGATTGACTTCATTTGAGTACACTTGAATAAAAGCAACATGAATATCTTACTGTGTCGTCCAGAGTAACTTTTTTTTCGTTTAAAATCTACCTGTCACTGTAGTTTATAACACCGTGTTCTAAAAAGCCCACGCCAGCTTTGTATTTCTAAGATACAACTTACCATTTAGAACAAATTAGAAGCCGTCGAAACATTGCCACCGCCTCTTTAGTGTTCTTCCAGTCTGTTGTCTGCACGGGAACATCGTTATCCATTCTGATAAGAAGTTTGTATGTGTTCTTCTATAAAAAATCGTGTCTGCAAGATTACAAAACGAACTTACTTCCTGGTTACTTGCATTTCCCGCCGAAGATATACGGAAGTAACCGGTGTTGGTTGCCATAGCCACCGTTATGACGTAGTTTGCGCCCAGCCCATTCCCATAGACTGTACATATTAAGTTTTATTTTAAAATAATATTAAATGTGTAAATAAACAGGATATAACTACATTACTACGAACGTCTTGGAGTGGAACATATTATTAAAAATGACAATAATATTGGTTAGAATTTATTTGTACATTAAATATGGCAAGGTGAATTTTCCAATAGTATTTAATCCATCACCAAAGTATTGTGTCATAATATTTTAAACTGTAAATATGCATAGTTTGTTTTAAATGTATTAAATCATTTAAATATTGTGTAGTTTTTTCAAATGCTCTGAAAGGGTTGATATCGAATGTTTTTGTAAAAAGCACATGTGCATTTTTGTTGTTTATTCATTTTAGTATTAACTCAAGTGATAAAAGAACTTTATAGTTGGGGCTGGCAAAGATACTGGTTTCTTTACTTACTTTCTTCTTACTCTGTGTTACTCCTTGTTTTCTATAGTAAGACACTGACTTTTAAGTTAAAAAAACAACATGCTCGAAAGATCTTCAACTCAAACAAAGAATCATAATAAGAAATATAGGTGGGTAAGTTTTCTTGAGCAGAAAATGTAATGATTAGAATGTATTCTAATGCTGAAATAGAAGAAAAAAACACATACAAATGAGCAGCAGTTGCTTCTGAAAAATAGCTTTATTAGAATAATAAAAAAAGGCATTATGAGGGGTCCAAAAGCAAGAAAAAGTCCAGTAAATATTTAGTACATTCTTTTCATCATAATTTCATCTATAAGGGACAATTACATGTACCTAAGACAAAAAAAAAAATCTTCTTTAGACATGCTTTGTGTTCAGCATGTGAGTGCTTACGGATTTTGTTAAATTAAAGTTGAATAAAAAAATATGTGAAATAAAAAGTTTTTGATTAGCTATAGTACCCTTAATATAAACACAAAGCTTTAATTCATCATCTTTGCTCATCTGTCCATTCATGCAAATGTGCATGTTGTACCTCTGCAAAGTAATCCTTCATATGATCAGTTGACATTTTACAGAGACAGTTAGTATATTCTAAACATGAATGATTTAAACACTTGTTTTTCACATATCAAGGGGAGACTGGGGGTAGATTTATTATAAACATATATTGCGTTTCATTCAATTGGACATACATAAAATGACAAAGAAAAGATGGCAGTCAGCTCTAGGATTCCACTGCCTTGATGGAGCCCAGGCTGTCTCTGTCAGAGTCACCTTCGTCATCAATCGGTATGTTTTCCATGTCCGACTTTTCCATTGCAAAGTTGATGAAGACCTGGAAAGAGTTAGTCCAAATTAAATATTAATGTCAACAGAAAACCTTTTTGAGTTATTCTGCTTGTCAATTTCTTTATTTGGCCTGTGGTATCCTCCAATCCCAGAGCCCCAGCAGGGCAGGGTGGTTGAAGAATATCAGCACTGGCTGCATATAAAGCTCATGGATTCTTTCCCTTACTCATATTCCATTTATTTTCCCTCCGGCATACCCTCTGTCAGTTTCTCTCTGCCTTCTTTAAACATTCTCCACTCTGCTTTCTTCTGTCCCTGCTTCCCCCTTACACCCTCTCTCTCTCTCTCTCTCTCTCTCTCTCTCTCTCTCTCTTCTATCCACAGTTTTTGTGTCCTGTCCTTCGCTGGCATATTCCCACCCTTACAAAACCTTCACACTAGTAGCCCCCCTCTGTCTGTTTATGTCCTGTCTCTTTCTCTCACCTCATCCAGTGTGGTCTGGCTCACAGAGAAGTGTTTGATCTGCAGATCATTCTTGTTGGACTCCAGCTGGTCGAAGATGTCAGCCACCCCTCCTACAGCAACAGGGACGTGATACTCTGCCATATTGGAGTGCTGGTCCTGAGGATTGATAGAGGAGAGTAGAGGGTTAAATACTCCACCAAAACTTTATAAAACTCAGTGGAAAGCTGTTGAAACCAAACAGAGATAACTTTGCATATGCCTATCAACTAAATAAAAATTCCCAGCTTGCTCAGTCTTACAATAACACAAACATTATATGCTGTGGGTTTTTTCAGCTCTGCAGTACACTGTGTATACTACCTGTGTTTACTAGTGGTTCTCATATGCACTCTTGAATATTTCTAGAGAATTTCAGGAGGATTGCCTCTGAAATAATCTTGATCTGGTTGTTCACACATGCACATCCAAAAGGGAGGCTATCCTGCTGGGACGGTGGTCAGTTGCATACAATTTATGGTCGTGCACTGATTGCAGGGAGTAAACGTCACCACCCCCTCCCACTCATTTTCAGATAATTATCTTGATTCTATTCTCCTGCGTTCTCACATCAGCTCACTCGGACTCTGACAAAATACTCGGGGGGCTGGCAAACTCCTGATGAAGTCTGAGTGAAAAATGTAGCTGTTTGCGTTCACACATGCAGCTCACCCTGAAAACTTCAGGAGTTTGTGCAAGTGTGAAAACTATAATACCGACTCTCCAGGATGAGCAAGACAATTAAGAAGAAAATAATCCTGGGAAGGAAAATTCCCACATGGTTGTGAGATATCTATATCCATAACGTAGCTCATAAAATGTGGTTTCTTTAAAGCTGCACGATTCATTGTTGTCATATTTACACCTGAAAAAAAAAACTAAATATAATGACAAAAGGTCACACAGGGGTGACAAATACACAGTTAATTATAGTCCAACTTTGCAGCCCCCCACAATTCTTCTATTTTTATTTTTAGAATGTTTTGGCCTTATTTCATGGCCAACAACTTTGCAGTCTCTCAGCAAGCTTGTTGTGTTTTTTTTTGTTTTTTTGCTGCAGCAGGCTGCAGCTTTCAGCATGAAAACCTTTGATAAACCCACTGTTCACTGGCTGGGATGAATTTTGGAGCTACATTCCTCCTCTGGGCAGAAACACAATTCTAAATTAGTGCTGAAGTTGCTCCATGTCTGCTAGAAGTCTAAATGCACTTCTGTTTGCTATTAAACTTGCCTTAACAACTTAATAAGGTAATGGTGTTAGCTTGTTCTGCTACAACCAAATGGACTGTTTGTCAATCTAATGCGGCTGTACATCTAGGAACAGCAGCCAGCTCATGTAGTTTAGAAAAGAATCATACAGACAACAACTTAACTTAATGTATTGCAACATTCCACGGCTATATAAACCATGCTTGTGTTTTTCATGTTCTCTACCAAGTACTCTTCAATACTTTCAATTGCTGGCAAAGCTCACCTTGAGATAAGTGCTGGGGAATCTGCGCTGCATGAAGCCAGTGATTGCCTCTGCGTTGCAGGAGGCCTCGGCCAAGTACATCTTCACAGTGAACCCGCTGCCGAACCTGCACCAAGGAGATGTTGGGAACAAAGAATTGTGTTATTACATGTCTGAGGGGTGGGGCTGAGGTGAAGAGGGAGGTGGGTACACTGTTCTTACAAGTTAAAGTGAGCATTTTCTTGCAGAAAGGAACACATAGGGGTGATTTAAGGGCTGTGGAGACAGGGCAGGGGAAAGAGCAGTAATGGGTGGATTGGAGGATGAGCAGAGGTCACTAACCTGTTCTTAATGTGCTGCAGGGAGCCCAGGCAACGGAACTGACCTTTCACCATGATGGCAAGACGGCCGCACAGCGCCTCACACTCCTCCATGCTGAGATACAAAGACAAGGACAAAAAGACAAAAGGTCAAAATCGGACCCTGCGAGCATACAGTAATTAGCCATGTCTGCTGTAATTCAGGAATAACTTTCCTAGCTATTAACTCCACTAAGATGTTGAATTACTAAGCTGTATTTTTTACAATTTATTTTATTTTTTAACTTATACATAAAGCCCTAATCTCACACTGTTTTTAATTCACATTCTCATCTGTGATATCCAAATATCTATTGAGTATTATTAGCGTAAAGGGGCTGCAGCAGGTCCATGTTTGTGTAACTCTTCTAACCTGTGAGAGGTTAGGACAACAGCACATTTTCCTTTCACTTCTTCAGAGATGATCTTCCACAGATGACGCTTGGTACGAGGGTCCATGCCAGAGCTTGGCTCGTCCTGCAGAGAAGAGAAGGATTAGAGGAGAATAGCAGGGTATGTGAAACAAAGGAAAGACATCAAGATTGAAGGATCAAGGGGAAATGGGTAGTTAATTGAGTTGGGCAGGACGCAAACAGTGTGCACATACAATAATAATAGGAAAAAAACAAGGGTAATATTAAGAACACACATAGGAGGGTTGAAAGAGAAGAGGAAGGTAAGAAGAGGAAACATTCAAGAAAGTATGGAGAAGAAACCGTACATGAAACAAAACATATAGAGAGAGGGAAGGAGAGAAAGTAATTAAGGAGCATGTCCTTACCAGGAGCAGGATTTGAGGATGCCCAATGAGAGCCAACGCTGTGGAGAGCTTCCTGCGGGTGCCGCAGCTGTAACCTTCAGTGGTGATGTTTCTGTGGTAGTTGAGCTCCAGCCTCTTCAGCAGGTATCTCACCACCTTTAAAGGAAACATACAAGGGGAATTATATATCGAATCAGAATAACAAACAGATCGCGGAAGAAGGGTGCAAAAATGTCAACTAAAGGATAGAAAGTGATTTTCAAAACATTACTAGGCATTAATTGGATTGTTTATTCTTGCATGGAGAGACATTTTTAATGATTATTTTAGATGCTTAGCATGCCAAAAAAAAATGATACCACAAAACAGATAGATTCCTGTGCTATAAAGAAACCACAGCAGCTAGTATGAAAGGCCAACATGCATGACTTAACCAGGTGATCAGAGGATGAGAATAGTAGTTCAAATGAAAAACAATGCTTTGTCTATAAACCTGTTTCTGCAGCTTAAAGATTATCATTGTGCTGATATGTTAAAGAGCTGCAGTAACATAATGGGACTCAACATGTTTAATGATAGCTCTTCATGTATCTGTAATCATAAATGCATATAAGACTTTTTTTCTTTTTTTTTTTAAAGATGTATTTTTGGGCTTCCCACAACCCCATTGTAGAGACAGGACAGGGGACACAGTCAGAAACCAGGCTGCCTGCCTAGAGGACCACAGCCACTTACCATTGGGCCGCGCGAACCAACCACTAGGCCACCAGCATCATAATAAGACTATTTTCTGACACAGAGTGTTGTTATTCATTAGAGAAGCTAAGATTAATAAAGTACTCAGTCAAAAGATAATTCATTGTATTGTTTATGATGGTGGAATCTTTTTACTGTTTTTTTTTAAGCAATAATAAAAACAGATCGTCTGGGGACAACTTCTTAAACAACAATGTGTTGTTTCTTTTCATTTTGTAAATACAAAAGTTTTGAAGTCTTGCTTAAACAAAGAAAAAAGTTGCAAGAATAAACTTTTCCAGAAATTTTGTGAACATTTTGCAACAACTTTTTGACATTTTATGGACTCAATGAATAATGAATTGATGGTTGAAACAATCTGCTGATGAATCAGTATGAACATACAGAATAACTGTTGCAGCAGTTTTCTCTGGTTAAAACAAACATCAGAATAGAGTCAAACCCCATCTGTGGCTCCATCATCTAAATAACCGCGGACCTTTGCAGTCAGTAGATTTTCCATCCATTTAACTGTAGGCTGTGTCTCTGAAGGAAAACACCAATATGCTAATATCAACAATTCATGCCCTGAATCAAGCAAAGACAGGTCCATTTACACAAAGCTGGTTCATAACACTTATTTACCTGACATTCATTTTGGTTATTGTCTCCTCCTATTCTGTCGAGAACAGCTGCGCCGCAAAGGACCGAGCTATCGCTTTGTCTCACTCCTATGCATATTTAATTCTGTTTGCACAACAATGATGGCTTCACTGTGTGACTTTATTCTATGTACACTCCATGCTGTCCTGGGGCTGCAGCAGCTTTACAGAACAGGAACTGACACAGCATAACCTATCGAATTATCCTGTGAGTTAAGCAGGAACGGAAAACCCATAATGGCTCATAAACATTTATCCTCTTAAAAAATCTTAGTGCCTCCCCATTAATCACATGGAATGGTGTGCTGTAAATACGTGTTCATTTTCAAACAGCTTGAGGTGATTTCCCATCGGCACGCTTTAGTCCTTTTTACCATCAGTTGACATGTTTGGAAACCAGATCAATGAAGCAAGTGAATGCAATAGATAACTTTTCTTTGCCTTTAGAGTTGATTTTCCATATGATTCCAAGCCCACTGATCCTGGATATTAGAAAACAGTGCAAGACATTTTCATACCTAGACAAATAAACAGTATTAGCAGCTAGATTTGAATGATAAGCACTGGTAGCATCGCATATACCTGACTGCCTCAGATCAAAATAGTTTGTATTTTTACGTCCTCTCATAAAAGCCCCCTTTCCCTCACCTTTGATGTAACAGCTCATTAGGCCTGACATCACCATGTCAATGCCAAATGACCCCATTAAGGCTTGTCTCATTATCCACAGTTAGGGGACTGTCAGCAGGAGGCAACATAAGAGGACCTATATATATAACCTCATCTTTGTGAATTAGCCCGACACCGATGCTGTGGCCATTATAACCATTGTTGTCACTATCCTGACCAGAGACGAGGAGCTGGAAAAGCAGTGAAGGCGATTAGAGTCAGACGTATCCATATATCTGTGCCTCATCATACAAGTACATTTGTGTTTGTGTGTGTTTTTGTGCATCCTTGCTAATGTACAAGAGTAGTTCAGGGTGTAACAAAAATGAGCCTGTCAGGGAAATGGAAGTGTTTTGTGCGTCTGCAGTTTCAAAAGGATGCAGAGAGATCAAGAGGCAAAAACAGAAAGATGCTTTTCAGCATACAATTCAGATTGTGTTTTCTGTTTCCTTTTTGCTTTTCAGGGAAAGAAAAACGACATGGAATATGTAGAAATCCCTTCATATGTCAATTGTTTGAAAGATTCCTCTCATGTTGACATCGGCAGCAGCAAAAGACAGGCATGCTCAGTGATCAGCACAAAGCAAGATTGATTGGTTCCCAGAAAGATAAATGAGAAGAATGGGGCTAAAGTGACACGTCAAATGAGATCCTCTCATCATCAATGTATCGTTTAAATGTAAATTTGACTCCAGTGAAGCGTACAGCATCGGCTTAATTCTAAAGTTTTGGACCGCACGAGCAGACAACAAAAGCTTTTCCATTTTTGCCCTGGATAGCAGAGCTTTCTGCATGCATCACTCAACGCTTCAAGTCCTCTGATTCAGTATGCATGGAAGCATCAACAGTTACTCGTCCTGCAGTGTGAGTGCACCTTTTGAATTTCTATCAGATCTGGTGTCATTTTGTGGATGGTGTTGTCACTACCCAGAGCTTTGAAAAGACGCACAGAGCCTGCAGCTCTTACTCACCCCGTCTATCTCCCTCTTTGAGATGCCTCGGATGCGAGCATAGAAGTACAAATGCTCCTCTCCGGTGAGCAGATTGTCCAGGGCATCTACCTGGGGACAGTAGCCGATGTTAATTCCCTGGTGGCGGCACTCCATGATATCTACCAATCGCCTTGGGGGGGAAAGAAAGGAAAGAAAAAGATATTAAATTGGATGCAACACATGGTGTAGGGCAGATGAACACGCAGGGTACGCCTTTGGCCCTGCTGTGCCAGATATACCCACTGAACAGCTTAAAAAAAGAACTGTAAATAGGGATCCAGACCCATGAGAGTAGTGTTGGTTTTTATCTGTCTACAAGCATCTGAGATACAGGTGTTACATACAGCTGCTACTTGCTAAATCCCAAAGCATTGCAGTTCAAATTTTGGCAAATTTGAGGCAATAAAAACTCTCATTTGTGGATATTTGTGTTATGCAAATTGAATCTAACTCAGAGTCATTAGACGGTGCAGCTTGGACACCTGTGCAGCTGAAATCACAGCTTTCTGTTTTGTGATGAGGTGTTTTTTATTACAGTGACTCTCTTACATAAAATTAACGTGTCATAATAATACTTTAAATATACAATTGCTGAACTTATGTTTCAGTCGTCTCTACAGTATGTGTTTGGTGTGCAGGCAAAATGACATTCTAAGTAACAAAGCTGGGTATTCTGGATATGCCATGCTACACTGTATGAGCTTGATGAGGTACAGTGACAGTCATGAATAGCTTACCCATCACGATCCCTAATCTGAGCTGTGCCATCAGTTGGGCTAACGTCTCCAGTCAGCATCTTGAAGGTGGTTGTTTTTCCTGCTCCGTTCTCTCCCAGCAAACCAAAGCACTGTAAGCAAATGCTGATGGCTTAGTCATACTCAAACATTAGTCCCCTTCACTTTCACCAACAATCACATAGATGTAATGGCTGATATCCGGTACAACCGACCATCAAAACATGATTTTAAGTACTACGCATCTAAATCTCTTCAGCAACAAAAGGATAATGCGATCATCTGTTGTAAAAAAAAATATGCGATTAAATAATATGCGATTCCCCTTTTCTACTGACTTTGAATTTCTTCTGATTCATATTTCCACTATGTTTAGTTTTACTCTTACCTCTCCTGCAGGTATGCCCACAGACACACCCTTGACAGCTTGGACCTTCTTGCTGAAGTTCTGATAGATCTTAGTGAGATGGTTGACCTGGAGTATGTCTGAGCTGGCCGCTCCACTCGCCACCCGTAGGTGCTCAGTTGTCACATCCTGATCCTCGTCCTCAGGTGCCACATGGGACACCGTCTTTCTGCCGCAGATGAGATGTCTGCAAAGAGAAGAGCATGTTCTCTTTCATCCACAGTTTCTTTTTTTTTTTTTTGCACAGAATGCACAATGTAACAATCTCATGTGCGCATGTCGTTGGATCACGATGGTCTCCGTTTTCCTCACCTGACTTTGCGTATGATGAACCTGTTGAGCAGGAGGCGCAGGCTGAAGAGGACCACGCCTTGTATGAAAGAGGAGATGAACAACCAGGCCATTGCGTCCATGGAGAACGGGTTCTGATAGGCGTCGATCCCGTAGCCGCTGAGGATCTGGACCTCTATGTTCTTCCTGGCCAGCTGCATCATCCCGTGACCAAAGTTGAACTGGGGGAAGATGAGGAAGGCGTTGCACAGCCTGTTGAAGATGGCTAAAACGACCTGCAGTTGAGGAGGACAAAAGACTGAATCAAAAGTACACTGAGGGCTCATCCTGTTTTCTAATCTTTGTGTAACTCACTGACAGGTTTTCACACTCATCTACAACATCATTGTGTCAACAAGGACTGATTCAGAGCCATTCAAATAGTAATGAACAGTCACATATTTAAGTCTGCATCTGGCAGTTTATGCTGACCTCCGCTTTGATGGTTGAAATTTGACTCAGAAAGAAGAGGATGGAGGTGGACAAGACGGTGTTGACACTGATGAACAGGTTGATGCAGACAAATGTGATGAAGGCCATCTCTGCGTCCTTGAAGACACCAGATAGCAGATACATCCAGGGGAAGGTGGCAAACCTGCGGATTTAACAATGACAGGATCCTTCAAACACAAAGTGGAGTAAAAATGACTTCACACACACTCTCTGGAGTAGCCTTTCTGTGATCTCTTCTGGATTAGTTTCACATACAGAACGTCCCCAATGACAACCCCACAAAAGGGATGAGGAAAATGTGTATCATCCTCCTCCCAATTCCTTTGTTTCTGAAATGCCATGACCTTGCTTTTTTTTTTTTTTTTTTACAAGACTGAAGTAGCTAAGGCCTTTAACCGACCAAACAGAGCAGCTGTGAAAATGAAAAAAAGAGAAAGAGGAAAAATACCAGACAGTGAAGAGTGTAAACCTTCAGTCATGACGCCCAAAGAGAGGAAGATAAATGACTTCTCTCTGTATTCCCCTAGTGGCAAAACATCTTTTTTTGTTGTCTCTTTTTCTCTCACATAATCTGCTTGTTCATTTGATTGGGGTGTCTGGGTCAGCCAGACTCCGAAAGAAAAGCAGAGATGAAGACAGCAGTAGTGTGGGAAAAAGAGACACAAATAGATAGAGCCGGACAGAGACATAGCATCTTCATGCCACGTCCAAAAAAAAATCAAAAAAGGTGCAGGGTAGGCAGACTGTGGGTGCCAAGCCATGACAAGGAACAGAAGCAAAACCAGGCCAGGTGGGTGCCGCATGACAGATGGAGCGCTGCGATAATTCATTGCTTGGGAGGGAGACATCTGTCTGATAAATGAGAAGCAGAGTGCTGACTTGGCCTCCTATGATCTGGGGCTCAGGACAAGGCCTAAGACAGCAACAGGAAACACAGGAGGCTAAGCTTCGGCTACAGTTGTGGGATGATGTAAGTAATCTCAGGAAACCAGAGGTGGGGAACAAAGCATGTTGCTGGCTTCACACGTTTCAAAGAATCAACAATTCATTCTCATTACCAGATTGATTTCAAACCTTGGTATCTTGGGACAGGAGCGTGCAAGTCTTTCTCACATCAAGGCATATTGTTTTTGCCGTTAGCCCCGTTGCTACTCTCTAGCGTCTTTGGCTTGCAGCCGATAAACATGTTGGTAGTGATTTTTCTAACAGCCTGTCAGTCCTACCACCATCTGTATTAGTGGGAAATTCTGGAAATACTGAGCAGTGTTTGTGTAAGAAGAACAGCAGCGTCCGTATGCTCAGTGCTGTAAATCCTACCTGGTGGCACACACACTCAGAGCAGCAGTGGAGGCAAAAACACAGACTGTTTAAGAGGAAGAGGCTTCTATTGATCAGAATACTTTGCATGAAACACATGGTCAGTTTGCCGGGGGTCAGGTAATTAACAATAAAAGCCATGAAAATTCGACTGTTTTGTCTTTGAAAAGAAACCTCTTTGGGTGCCTGGAGTACATTTTCCAGCTGCAGATCTAAGCTTCAACAGTTTGTCTGCAAACACTTGGATTACCAAACAGAATGTGTTTTTGTCTTCAGTTCTTTTAGTGATTTGTTGTGTTTTCAGATCCATGCTATCATAACTGATCGAACTGATCATCGCAACTACAAAAACAATCTAACAGCTGATCTTAACAGTGATTTTGCTGTTAGATTGCTGATTCATTCAGGTTCTTCAGTCTCATGATGATGTCCTCATTTTACTTCAAATCACATAACAAAAAAAAACAAAAAACTAAGTTTTTCTGTAGTGATTTTAAATCAACACCTCTGCAGTTTTCTTTAAATTGCTAAGATTTGTCCATTTGTATTAAAGTTTTTCCCTAGTCTTGTCTTGCAGTCTGAAGTATGCCAAAAATACCCAGATGTTGTACGTATTAAGAAAAATCTACAGTCTCAGTCTCAGTCTCGCTCGCGTACGATTTCCCATAATGAAAGCGTCAGGTCAGAGATCGAGATGACGGACACTAACGGTTATCATAACGGGATATAATCATCAGAGCAAACCACACAAAGATACCACCAGTTATCTTCTCAAAATCATGAAAATAAAAAAATGTTCAGACCAGAAGTGGATGTTACACTGTGGCGGCGTGTCAGCTGGGCTGTTGTTTACTTCTGTATTCCAAGAACAGAAACCAGCCTGGCATACTTCAAAATAACCCCTGACTGGCAGTCATACTGCACACTGCTGTTGAAGGTATTATGCAGTCCATATAGCATATTACATTTGATAACAGTATGCAGTAGGTGGTTTTGAAAACCGCCTAAGACTAGTCTGTAGTGTTTTCTGTTTTATTTTGAAAAAACCTCTGTGTTTTTGTCTCGTATTACTTCCTCCCTTTGTCTGTTTCCCCTCATTGGTCTCACCTGTGTCATTGGTCTCACCTGGGTCTGATGACCACAGTATTTAATCTCTGTGTTAGTTCCCTTCTGTGTCAGTTCATCCGTCAACATACCCACATTCTTGAGTGGATTTCTCTGTGTTTCTGGTGGACTTTTTTGTTGTGTTTTTCTCCTGTTTTCATAGGTAGACATTTTTTACATTCTATCAAGTACGATTTGTGTTTTGGCCTTTTTGTGTTTTTGGTAAATACAATTTTTTGTTTTAGTCTGCACTTGGGTCCTCCACTATATTGTTGTTCAACAACCGTGACACTAAAGTAACCTAATATAAGGCTGTTTTTTATGAAGGTTTTTATTGAAAAAGCTTTAAAGCATTTTGAATGAGACATTGTGAAATAGCTCATTTAAGTTGTGAGAGAGATACACATAGCTCCAAGCACTCGATGCGTCTGAAGCCCTAACCTTGTCTGACGCTTTGGAAATGAATATTGATCACCTGTTGTTTCTGTAAGTTGGGCAGAGAAACCAAAAGCAATCCAGATGGAAATCTGTGTTTGGAAGATTCTTCAAAGAGCAGAGATTTCTTTTGAAGACAAGTTTTATTTACACTATGTAGGAGTCAAGGAAAAAACGTATTCCCCTTAGCTCCAAAGAACCTTTGGCTGTATGTCTCAGGTAAAATCACTTGTTTATCTGTTAGTGCATGTACAGTATGCCTAATGAGGCAACATGACTCACCCAAAGAGAACCAGAAGCACAGTGATGGCAGCCAAATTTTGCCGATCTGTGAAGGCTGGAATCTGGAAGGCTGCTATCACAGCAACAGTCAAGGTCACAGGGATCAGATAGACAACCTGAGGACAAGTAAAGGACATGAAAACACGATGGCATGTCATAAAACAGGAAGAAGATCTTCTTTGAAACACAAGACTGTGACTTTATTTAGCAGGGTAAGTGAGATGATATTCTGGGACCGGGAGATGTTACCATGTCGAAGAAGAAGTTGACAGCCCAGTAGAAGGGCTCACTGATGCCAGCGATGTGCTGCAGCCTCTTGGAGCCGCTGTGGTGCTCGTTGACAACATAGATGGCAAAGCTAGCTGTCGTGATGGAATAACCCGTCAAAACACACATGGCCACTAGGATCTGAAGCATTCCTTGGACACTGTGAGGGAAAAAACGGATTATTTGGAGGTCTGGGACAAAACCTTTCTGCATTAACTGTCAATCAGGTTCTCAATTATCAAATTCTTCAACCACAACTACTCTTTCACATCCCTGTATCTTCTTTGTTGAAACAATTTGTTGTATTCCTTTAGTTTGAACTTTCCTTCACAAAGACTATACTTTACAGATACAAGTGTGACAAATTGCACACAAAAAAAACACAATCCTCTGGTGTGCTGAGTCACTTTTTAGAAAGGCAACCTGCTGTAATTCTTCTCTGAAAACAACGGACCATTTCAAAGCCCTCCAACAAGCGATCGTATCCCTCCCTGCTGGGACCTGACTCATCTGTACTATTGATGTGGCTCCCTATAATTTGAATTTCATTAATAACAAACAGCTCTGTTAAAGCGATACTTGTCCGATTCTTCTGACATGATAATAGCAGTGAAAGAAACAGATGGCTTCGTGTAGAGACAAACTTCACACTTCTTTTGCTGTGTAATCAGTCAGCCAGTGGTGCTGCTGTGAAGCGACTGAGCCTATAGTCCGAGTTAGACCCCGAGACAACCAGCTGAGGCTTTGATTCCTCAGTTCCTCCTGAACCCAGTGGACTCATTCAAACTTTGTGGATGTCGTCACCTATCCCTGTCCTATGCTCTCCACCTTTTCAAGAATAAGCAGCATGAGGAAGAAAAAAAGAGGTCCGAGTCGAAGTGACCAAGTTGGAAGGAAACAGAATAGCAAAGAGTGACATGGTGAGCGTCTGAAGCCAGCACTCGCTACACAGAATAGCCAGCAGCAGCAACTACTGAGCTGGCTTGTTATCAGTTGGGCCAAGTTGGTGTTTTAATGTTTCCCATGGGCTACCACTCTGTAAAAATCAAGACATTTCGAGTTATAAGCCTATTGCATCTTTGACACGGTTCAGGCCAAATCAATGCATCAATGTCAGGATGCAGAATCTCACCCTGGTAGGAGGGGTGAGTGTGTACTTGTAGCTCAACAGCCACATCATTCACTTAAAGCATTGCAGAGTGATGAAATGGAAGGGTAGTAAACACAGTGGGAAAAGCCAGTGAAATGTTTAGTGCTTATAAGATACTGGGGGGGGGGGCATCATGAGGCCACAGCCTCAGCTCAACCCACTCTTCAAAGGATTTAATTGACTTGATCCTCTGATACACACACGTGTGTATACATGCGTGCACACACATAGGGACATATAGTCTGGATCTCTAAAGCAGACTGTGGAGAATTATATATATATAAACTCATTTTGGGAAGTGGGCTAGAATCAATCCACCTCCATGCCACCTTCAGGGTAAACAGTCATTATATCGGGCCGGTGATCAATAGTGCAAGCTCAGAGAAATCCATTTAGAAAATCAAATATGGGTAAATACTGCTGTCATGTACCTCACTGCCCTCAGTCCACCCTGACTTGGATGTCTTGAATTGAAAAGTAGGATGGCTTCATCATTCATCTCAGCCAAACAACAGCCAATAATATTCATTATGACTCGACTAATTCTGGGATTTGTTTTCACAGATTAGAGTGCTTGTTGCAAACGTCTTTTTTCAAGTGCAGCTAATTACATTTTTGAACGCAGATATTCTGTTTAGAAGAAGAAGAAATATCACATGTAGTAGTCCTTACATTGCGTCTTCGTCATCCGCCCGACCAAAATAGGGGTGACTGGAAACTGAAATGGCTGTAAAAGAAAAACACAGAGTGTTTTGTTTGCAATTTCAAAAGCATAATACGGCAGCAAATCAGCATGCAGGCTTTATTTTACCGCAGGAACCAAACGAGCAATGATACTCTGTGTGCTTGGGACACACTTCATTGAGAAATATATGACAGGATGATTTGGTTTGCCAGAGCACACAAAAAGAGATTGAATTTTCTTTATCATTTTTCCCAGGGTCTCTTCGATGCTCAGAGACATAAACTGCTCCCCAGCATGCCTCTGTTTCCATTTCCTGAGATGGTAGACTGTCAGTTCATCCAAAGTACAGAAGCCTTGGAGCAGGTTACAGGCTCAGTGCCTTGTTTAAGGGCACTCTGGTGGAAATGATGTTTTTTTGTCAATTAACCCAAATGTGATTGGTGGTCTTTACCATTACACACTGTTAGCATTAGGCGTGGGAATCACAGGGCAAATCATGAAACGCTACGTTACCATTCTATAACATCCATTACAGTAACAGCACGATACAGTGATTCTGCAATAATTGATATATTGCAAGACAACCATATAACATGATCTGATGAACTGACTAACATTAAATGCCCTTAAAAGGTAAAGCTCAGGATTTATGTATGTGTTATTTACGGCATTTTGGTGTCACCTCTTAACTCATTACATCTCCTGAGTTCTTTTCACTGTTTTCTGACATTCTGCCATCTTTTTCTTTTTTTCTGTTATCTTCTACTTTGGCCAAATAACTTTAGTTCATGTTCATTCTCATTCATGTCATAACCATCACCATGAGGAGTCTTGAAGTAATGACGCAGTGAGTCAACTTCCTGCCACTGTATTAATATTGTTTTTATTTTAAAATGATATTTGGGGGGAGCTGGTGGCGCAGTGGTTAGTGCGCGCCCCATGTATGGCGGGTGTAGTCTTCTAAGCAGGCGGCCCGGGCTCAAATCCAGCCTGTGGCTCCTTTCCTGCATGTCATTCCCTACACTCTCTCCCTCTGATTTCCGACTCTATCCACTGTCCTATCTCTCCAATAAAGGCACAAAAAGCCCAAAAATAAATCTTTAAAATGATATTTGGCAGCAGCGATTTTAATAATTGTATCACCTATGTCAGGATGATGATATGTTACTGTCTTGACATTAACACCCCTAATATTTATTACTTTGGTCAACAGTCCAAAAACCAGACACGTTAGAAACTAAGAAAAAATAAAACATTATTCAAATTTTATAAGCTGGAATCAATTCATTTTAGCGATGTTTGCCAAATAATAATGTAAAGAGTTACTCTAGCTCACATCTGCCATGGTGGATTATTAACATCTGAGTCTCTTTTCTCTTCGGGATTGGCCGGAGAGACTTTTAATACAGAACATTGTTGCAGGTGGGAGTGATCAGAATTTGTAGTGAGGCACTGGACAGGATTGTGATAGCACATCTGTTGGCACTGGGCAGTTATGTTCAGAAATCCTACGAGGGTTGTAATGAAAAACTGTTTGATGTATACCTCTAAAAAGACCCCATCCAGAGTTGGTTTTGCTGTAATGAGGGTCAGGGCTTCACACTTGACGGATAAACCATCACCTTGAAAAGTGATCGCCCTGAATCTCCAACCCTTCCTCTGCCAATAACATTTAAATGATTACCCTGCAGCACTTTTTCCATCCAGTGGGAAACAAATTTGTCTGTATGCATGTGTGCATGTATTTCTGAGCATGCCATCAATGCTTTTATGAGCATTTCTTCATGAGTGTGTGTAAATGTGCGTGCTACTGCTGGCAGGCAGATGGTCAGGGTAATACTGAAGAGCTGAAACAGTGCTGGATACGTGGGCCAGCCTCGTTCTCTTTCGCATAGCTCCCCAATGAGCGGAACTCATCAGTATTCACAATGCGTATTGATGTGAGTCTAAGGACACACAGCACCCCCTGGCTTTAATCCAGTGAAATGAAGCATGAGTAAACACACTGTTTACAGCTCTCTTTATATTTAGCATACAAAATGCACTGGGTGTTCAATCACAAGCACCTTGCTAAGTAGATAGATTTGATGCACGTTTCCTAAGTTTTTCTTTTTTTTGCAGTAACACAAGTCTTGAGTGTCTGCATGCCTAAAGGACAATTCCGCTATAAATAATCTGTATACAGACCTCTATAGAAGCATTGCAATATTGCAAAATCAGTATGCAGCAACACATCTAGAAATCTGAAAGCTGGGTTTCTATTCAGTAAAGTTTGACATTCCATGTGCAAAGTTTACTCATGGCAGCTTACCATATTTGCGTGGATCCTTATCTGCTGGGAGATTGGAGCGTAGGATGAAGTTGTTGATGCTGTTTAAGTATGCTGGCATTGTGTGGTGGCCCTCAGGGTTGAACCAGACCTAAAGGGGATGGGAAACACAATAATGAAATGTAAAGAAACCATCACTCACACTGCTACACATGAGGGCATGTAAGTCTTCTTTTTCTCTCTAGATTAAACTTCACAAAATTTGAAGCCGAGGCTTTATTGATACAATAAAAGCAGTCGTCATCATCTGAGGAAATTTACACACTAAAAGAGTGGCATAATTGCTGCAGTAAAGCATATTTATGATGACACTGATGGTGTTACAAAGTAGCTCCATCTGCAAGACAAACAACTTTAACAAGGATGTCGTGTTTTAACTTTCAACTACTCATCAGTACACAATTAAAGTGATAATGAGACGGGGGGGGGGCATGGAAGAAGGAAAGATATGTTACCTTAGACAGAGTGCGATTTTTGGGCACAGATTTAACGTCCATTTGTAAGTCAGCGGGGAGCGGCATACCCAAAGCAAATCCACCATATCTGAAAAAGCAAACATATATCGATCAAAACAAAGACGTCTGAGTTGTGTTGGAAAACAAAAAAGTGTGTGTCTGTTGATTAATCCTCTCTCTGGAAAATCAAAGCAGATGCCCACCTGCGGATAGGAAGCAATTTGGTTGAAAGCACCAGAACTCTTTTAGAGAACGACAAACATGATTGACAAGGTACGTGATGTCCTTTTGTATTGAGCAATGTGATAGGTGAAAACGTTTCCCCTGCAAGCAAAGTTACCTCAATCAACAGTCAATTAGACTCCTGCAAATCCTTGTTTTGTATACAAACCACTTTCCTTGCAAAAGCAACACTGCTACGTAACCATTTAAAGCTCCTGTAAGGACTTTTGAGCTGGTTGTGAAACTGACTGGAATTAATAGGGATATCATTTTATAAGCTACAACAACAACCGAGACCATAAGGGTGAAGATTGACTATTTCTATTTAATCATTTGTATTGCCTAAAACTGCTGCGGCGGGGGTAGGTGTCACAGTTGTTTAACAGCAGACACAGCTGGTTTTTTTTTTTTTTTTTTTCCACAGCAAAGATTCTCAATAGAGAGACTCATTTAAATGTTAAAAGAAACCAGATGATAATTTTGGAGTGGCTTTGTCCATAGAGGTCCCCAACATCCACATATATACATACATAAGATTCTTTCACTTGTTCTTTGAAGCTTACAACCTGAATGATATATTATTTCAGTGACATGAAGTTAAAAACACTTTGAAGAAGCTCTAATTTTTCTTATTAGGGTCAATGGTCCACTATAAACTAATATAGAGTAAAAAAAACATCTTGTAAAAATAACGTGAACTAACCAACCATCTTAACTCATGTTTACTCAGCAAAATTAAGTGATGTATTGAAATTCTATTGTAAAATGGGACACAGCGACAGTGCCTCATATATTTCATACATTCACTGTTCAGTACATGTAAACCCTGATGGCATTCACCTGTTTCTGATGAAGTCATTTGCTGTTGTCACCAGGTATTCTTCCACATTGATGCCACTCAGGTTATACACAATCTGAGATGAAGGGGTCCTTTTGTGGGGGGGGCTGGTAGCTTTCACTGTCACATGTCTGCAGAGAAAGTCAGAGACAAATGTGTTACACTTGTGTTGCACAAAGAATTGCGCATACAAGCACAGGAAGACACATTTTAGTGTAGAAACACAGATGGACGAGAACACTGAAAGTCACTCACACACTTACACATACACGCCAACAGTTAGCAGTGACCCGGTCTCACCTGTTCCTGGCGGGTGCATTTACAGCCACTAAATGCTTTGGAGCTGTTCCCACTGGATCTCCAGGGATCTGTACTTCTCGAGCAGACCCTTAAATGAAACATTCACAAAGTGAAATGGTGGCTCAGTGGAGTGATGGGAGTCTGCGGTGCGTGATAATGCCCCGAGCTCATCCCCAGACACACCCCAGAACACATCTGAAACTGAGTTGATATGATGGCCTTCATCATCGCAACTGTCGGCAATCATTCATGCAGCTGCTGGGAGCTAGCACGATTTCTGTGAGATCAGGACCCAAATATGTCCTTTGATATCAGTTCAGAACTGTTTTCAAAGCTGTGTAAAATTTTCTGTAAAATCATATTGTGTGAAATTTCCTTGCGTGGGTTGCTGTCCAACTCTCCCGCACTGTGATTTCAGCCAAATGCTTTCGGGGAAATCTATGAAAGATTCTAGCAACACACAGATGTTTGTACACTCACATGTCCCACATGTCAAACAACAAAAATGACCGGACTCTGGGGGCAGTAAAATGAAGTCAACTGAATGCAACACTCTCTGCCCTTTCAGTCACTGTCATGTAGCTGTGATTACAGGATGTCGTGAGTAAAATATGCAGCTTTATTTTGCACCTTAGTACATTTCCTTCTCCCTCAATACTTTCTTTTTTCTTTTTTTGAAGGGAATTTTAAAAATGCCTCAGAGGTCTGGTTCATGAGTGCCAACACTGATTTGAGTGTCTGTAAGGGGAAAATCTCGCCTATAAACACGGGGTGTTTATGGAATACAAATGATGCTCTCACATGGCAGATTCCTGCTGCAGGCTTTCAGCCACATACGTTGTGCTGAGCAGCAGGAAAATAGGGAGCAGGGACAAGAGAGAGACCAGAAAGGGAGAGAGAGAGATAGAGATAGAGAGAGAGAGAGAGCAGCAGAGATTGAAGGGAAGGGAGTCAGACTAGTATAATGAAACAAGGTGAAAATAGAGGCATGAAAAGAATGACAATGATGGGCACTTAAAAAACAGTGTATGGGTGTAAAAGGATAGAATACATAAGGAAACTGACTGCTTCTGTCAGAAATAGTAATTGCTCGTTTTCAGAAAAAAAAGCTGCTGCCATTTGAGGCAGCCATGATTACGTACGGGTTATTTGGCTTGTTGAGGCAGGCGTTATCGATTCCAGGGAATGACATCATGGTGCTTATCAGCTGCTCAGAGTTGGGATCGGAGTTACTGTGGAGCCAGAAAACAAATAACTTCAACCTCAAAGGTTAAACTGATTTGTTTTGTCGTTGCCATAATCATTAGAGTAATAACAGGAAGAATCACAAACATAAGACTTTTCTTAAGGCTTTCACGTGGCATAAGTAGACAAAAGTTATTATACATGTATCCAGTCTTTCTTTGGTTTCAGAAAGAATTGCATAAATCAAAAGGTTCTAAGTAGAAAAGCTAAAAAGAAGAATTTAATATTATAAATTGTGTCCACAGGAGGCTCATTCATTATCCTAATGAAGCATCCTTACTGTGAGGAAACTGATAAAGGGAGAGTAGGGGGGCATGGTTTACTTTATTTTTATCGCTCCCTCGCCTTAAAACACCTTTAAATGCACAAATTAATAAACAATCAGGTCATTAAGTTTGCACTTTTCATACTAGAAGGCCTTATATACATAGCACTGAATAAGCTTGTAAAATGTAAGCTTGCATTATTATGACGCAGAATAATATAGTAATATGGTCATTTTAAAGAAGCTTTATTGACCATGGCTAGCTTTAATTGTCCCCAGCACTGGACTCTAACATTGACAACCTTTTTTGTCAATTTTTAGATGTTTTTCTTTTTTTTGTATTTGAAGCTATAGCTGATGGGTGAGAGCATCCACACGGTCTTTGACATTGATTGGCACATCAGCCTTTCCTCCATTGCTTTACACTCCCTTGATCAAACAACAAGACTTTTCAGGAATGAAGACATCTCGCAACCTCCTGACACTCTCGATCCCTCTCACTTTTGATCTCACATCTCAGCTGTCTCAACCACAATCGTCTCTTTCCCTTACATTCCCCTTCGCTCCTTCTCCTTTAAGGTCTGTCTGCCCTTCAACAAACTACAATATTGCATTCGTTTTATAACAAGTATGACATGCTGTCTACCCAGAAAATTATGCAGCGGGCCAACGGACCAATCGGTTCCAAGGAATGCAGAAGCACATCATTAAAGGTACAGGGGTGCGGCTTCAACATTTAATCATTTACTTGGGTGCATCCAGTTTCAACATAAAATAGTTATCACTTGAGATAAAAACAGCTCTATGACTTCTTTTTTTTGAGACTTTGCCATAATAAGAACTCCAAGAGCTGTTTCTAGACTTGTTAAAAAAATAGGTGTATCAGTATTCACTTGCATAACACACACTTTTCAAATGTTTATGCGTTCACATCTTAGTCTCAGAGGGTCTGACCTTGCCAAAAAAAGCTAAAGCTTTGTGAACATGCTTGGTGAAAAAGCACCCTGTGTGCTTTCCCCCGCCCCAGCACTCCTTTGCATCTCCCTCGTCACAAGAACTCACCTGAAGAAGGAGTAGCTTGGTCCGAATTTGTATAGCGCAGGGCTTAGCTCCAGCTCGGGATAGTGCTGCAGGTCGCTCTTGATGGAGCCCAGGCCCATAGCAGCCACCATAAACAGAACAGGGAGCAGGATCTGGCAGATCAGGCCTTTCCAGTCTCTGCGGCTGTGATGGAACCTCTTTGTCAGCATGGCTGCCATCTGCTGGCAGGCCAGCGTCATGCCGCGCGCCATTGTGGAACCTGTCAGCTCTACAACACATCGGTGAAGAAATGTACACATTAACATACTTTCTACTGTCTTGATGACGCCTGCATATTACTCGTTAAAGCCCACTAGGCTTAAGGGTCAGGAGTATCACAAAAGTTTTAGGTGCTAGGTCTAATAAAACAGCTATTGTCAAAGTGCTTCTCAGGGAATATGTGCTGTGTCCACTAATGTCTTATTGTTGCTGGCAGTGCCAACAAAATCAGTTTCAGAGCGCTTCTATCCGCTGCCTGCTGTTGCTAAGTTACAAAAGTTAGCTCAAAGCACTTCTGCTTTCCTCAGTACAAAGCATTAGATTACAAATTGCTCTGTGTGCTCAAGTATATATCACAAAGAAAACCCCCAAAAATGCAAACGAATTAGCAGCCTCGGACGTGGAAAGTTTACCAGAAGTCAGATTAGTTTCTCCTCCACTGTTACTGCTGACAAAGTTGACATCTAAACTCCTGTCCCTTCTGTATTTATTGTATGTGTATATATAGGTGACAAAGGAAAAGATAGATAAAAGTAAGGAGGGGGGAAACGGATGGATAAGAATAAGTTAATAGTGACTGAACTTACTGATGTTGTCGCTGAAGCTGGAGGTGCTTCCACCCAGGTCTGACGTGAAGCTGTCCATGGACACAGTGTCAGAAACTGTCTCTGAGATCGTTGGGAGGCAGTCCTCATCCCCAAGCTCTGTGTTTTCATGACCCAATTGGAGGAAGACCTGCACAGATGAAAGAAAAAAACACATGAGCACGTCAAAATTATTGTCCATCTGATCTTGTGGTTGGTGATGCAGTGGTTAGCGCTGTTGCGTGTCACAGCGAGGAGGTTCCTGGTTCGAATCCCCGTCGGCCAGAAGTCAGAAGTTTGCATGATTTCCCTGTGCATGCGTGGGGTTCTCTCCGTGTACTCCCACTTCCTCCCATAGTCCAAAGAAATGTTTATTAGGTTAATTGGTGACTCTAAAATTGTTTGTAGGTGTGAGTTTGGCTTGATATCTGTCTCAATATGTCAGCCCTGTGATTGATTGGTGCACAGGGTGTACCCCGCCTCTCACCCAATGGCAGCTGGGATCGACTCCAGCCCCCCGCGACTCCGATTGGGAAAAAGACTTATAGATAATGAATGGATGGATGGATGGATGGATGGATGATCTTTATGCTGACATGTAGTTCTGAAGTTTAGATTTCATTTACAGAGGAAAAACTTAACAGCAGTTGAGTTTGTTTTCTCTTACACTGTGTCTGTATTTCTGATCTTTGTTATTGTGTGTGGGTGTTTATGAGCGGACCTCTTCTAGGGTGGTGTCAGAGATTCCATATCCTCCGAGCTGCAGGGCGTCCAGGTTGGAGTCCAGAGCAGTCAGGAGGGAGCGGTATGAGGAGGCGTTGGATGAGTTGAAGGCAGGCAGTGAGTACACCAGGTCACCTCCTTGGGCCTCCTTAAGTCGGGCTTCAGGTACATGAGCTTGGATGAAGGATTTCAGTTCTACATTGTCGATCTGCTCCGATTCTAGGTTCTGCATCTGCAGACAGAAAGGCAGAAAAGGTTCTGACATGCTTTTTTTTACCACACAACAAAAATCTCTCGTGGCGTTAAGGCATGTATGCTCAATCATTCTATCCCTGCCAGCATCATCCACTCCCTAAATTTGTGTGTCTGTATGTTTCAGTTCTGTGCCTTAGATTTAAGAAATTACATTCACGGTTCAGGTTGCTCTTGCACACATAGAGCATGAGCCATTGTGCAGCCTGTGTGGGCAGCTGGCGCGCGTGAGACGGATGACTGGAATACCGCAGCTGAAGCGCCTGCTGGGTAGACACGCTGAGAGTTTTAAAATGTGGGTTCTGCTTTTTTTTAATTATGCATTGTCCAAATAAGTAACAAGTCATCTGAGTGCATGGTTAAGGGTAAAATAAACTTTGGGAACTTGCAAAACATTCTTGTTAGACACTGCCTGAGGATTGTTGAAACGACTGACCAGTGCATGGATGAGGAGGTTGATGCAGATTTAAATAAATGTAGATGGAAAATAGCCCTCATACAGAATATTTAAGGAAACCAAAGCCTGTAGCTAGCAGATGGGATACTAGGATACTCATTAATTCAGCAATACATAAAAAAAGAATATTAGATTATGAGAACAGTCAGAAACAAAGTCTGCTAAAGGAATGTTTGAGCCAGTTAAGGGCAGTCAAAAGAGCATTATCCGTGCTGTATTTAGCTCATTTAGCACTTTTTTAATTCATCTGATACAATTAGTGTTTCGTGCTACTATAGTGTCCAATCTAATAGACATAAAGCCACTGGTTGTGCATTACCAAATAGCATTGTTAATATCCGTCTGACAAAAAAGCACAAGAAAAATATTTGTACTAACATTAACAGCAACTTAAATGGTATCATGAAGAACGGGACCAAATGTAAAATGGGGAGAAGTGGATTTTAAATCATATAAGGTGTTTTTTTATATGGTTATATAAGAATTTTCACAGTTATTACTTGTTGTGAATAACACAATCTTGCAGTCATGTTTCAGCTGAGAATGGCGGCTGGACGCCTGGGAGGATGAGTACCTTCTTTGTGAGTGTGAGTTTGTAGCCTTGACCCAGCTTGTCTTTCAGGTGGAAGGGGGATCCGACGCATTTTAATCCTCCTCGCTCGAGGAAGGTGATGCGGTCGCTCAGAACTTCAGCCTCGTCCAGGTGGTGCGTAGACATGATGATGGTGCGTTCTGAGAAAAGACACACAGCGTAAAAAATGATCTCTGTGATTTGTGTTTGCATTTTTATGCCATCCCTTTACCCAGAAGTAAAACTCACGTGGTAGCTGAGGGAATTGTGTATATATTTTTAAAAAAAGTATTAAACAAAACTCATGTGATTTGAAGTGAAAAGCACACAGGATTACAGGAGGTTATGTTTACCAGTCAAGGTAGTCAGAAAAGCTTTGTAGGAGTTTCAAGGTTTACAGAGGTGAAAGAAAAATACAGCAGCTATATTTAGATACCGTATGGCATTTTTTTTCCCTTATTTTCCTATCCTAGTGTGTACATGTTTGCCTTTGAATGTAGCATATCCAAATAAACAACCCAAAAGCAGACATAGCTCACAGTGTGTCACACACACACACACACACACACACACACACACACACACACACACACACATACACACACACACACACACACACACACACACACACACACACACACACACACACACACACACACACACACACACACACACACACACACACACACACACACACACACACACACACACACACACCAAGCTTCAGAGAAACAGCAAGTGATGCAGAAAGTTTATTTTGAAGATTCCCCTGGCATCAAAATCCCACAAACATCGGAAATAGGGCCAATTATTCAGGATGTTTTCCACATCTACAATTATATGACATTTAGCAGCCTCTCTGCCATTACTGCTACTAAACTAAGAAAGCCTGAAGAAGAAAGCCTTCTGGATTGCTGCAGATTAATTACATGCTAAATTTAAAGTCAGCAGCCTAAGCAGGGGAAAAGCCTTCCGGGGTCGGCTGCAGGTTTGCTGCACTTTGTCTGCTCTTCCTCTTCCTCCCCTCTTAGGAAAAAGGAAAGGAGTTTTCAGGGGAAGACGAGAATTAAAGATTGTTTTGTTTTATGCCATATGGGTGGGTGAACATCAGAATGTGAATTTGATGTACAAAGATGAGATTTTGAAATGTGTTTTGTCCTGATTGTCATTCATGTCTGTAGGGATTCATATGATGACGTATTGCGCTGGTGACATAATTTGGAACAAAGGCGTGTGCAGAGGCTAGCCGGCTGGTGGAAACAGGGATTTCACACCAGGGCTGGTGAGATATGTCATCTGTGTCTGGGTTGAGAAAGAAGCCTTGTTACAGCATTATGAGCCAACTATAGATCAGTAATGCTGCACAATTTAAGCAAGTTAATAATACATTGCAGGAGTTTAAATGAGAAGTAAGTTGTTAAACTACTATCTGGAAGCAATAACATGACTGGCATCATTTCTGATTGAAATCAACTTTTCTGACCTTCAAGATTTCTTGTTTTAAGTAAGTATCCTGTGGCTCAAGTAAGGGAGAGATGTGTGTGTATGTGTAAGTAATACTGTTAGAAATATGATCCAGACCGTTTGCCACATTTTCAATTTTCTTAGTATTGAGCCATTAAGAGGCTAACTAGTCTTTGATCGCAGCACGGCAACAGTGCAGGGAATCCAGATAGCTGTGATTTAAGACTTATTGAGACATATGACTGGGTGTCACTGGGGAAACACTTTTGGGGGACTTTGTTAAGGGAAAAACTATATGGCAAAGGGGCAGCAGATCAGAAAGCTAAAAATAATGAGGACAAGTATTGATGTGGGATACACAAACAGTGAAAATACTTTTGCTCTGTTTTATCTTTTGCTACATTTTCCCATTATTTTCTCTTCTTACAGTCATCATTAATTCGCTTCGTAAAGTTTATTTCCTCTGAGAAGGATGAGGGCAAATTACTTAAAACTTATAATATACTTGTGTATAACTTATGGGTTGGAGTAACAGTAGTGGTAAGAGTAGTGGTAAGAGTTGTAGTAGAGATGGCTTGGAGTTCAATGGACAATCTTTGAAATGGAAGTAATGCTTTTTAGTTTGGATACGTGTTTGCGTGTGTGCTTGTGTATGAGAGAGAGCAAGAGAGAGAGAGAGAAAGACTCACGTTTTTTGTGCTGGATAACAATGTCCCAGATGCTGCGCCTGGAGCAGGGATCGACTCCTGTGGTGGGTTCATCCAGAACCACCAAGCGGGAGCCCCCTATGAAGGCGATGGAGATTGACAGCTTGCGCTTCATGCCGCCTGACAGGGTGCCCACCCGCTTATGTCTGTGAGCGTACATGCCTGTCTCCTCTAGGATCCTGGCAGGGGAGTCATTGAAAAGCATTTAACATTGAGCTCATGTTAACATACTTTTTCTATTCATGGCAACCAAGTTCCATAGTCATAGTTCCATCAGCTACCCAGCAGGGGTTTCAGATAAAAACAGGAACCAGAGGAGAGGTGCGGTGTCTTTGCCCTTCGGTTCAGGCTTATTACTGCAACTCTTGTCATATAGAAAGTCTCCAGAAATAGTCTCATGATGCAACTGGAGGTTCAACCCAGAGTTTAATGATGCTACAGAATAGAGGATGGCTTGTCTGTTGCTTGGTCCCTAGAGCTTTAAAAATATTTTACATTTTTCATACAAAATGTGGGTTTGAAACAGAGAAAAAAATGTTGCTTAGTTTTCATAGACCCTCAGAGTATAATAGCATTCTCAACCTGCATTAAATGGCTGTAAAAGGGCATAAACAAATCATAATGATAAAAACCAAAAAAGGAGTTTATTTCACAAATAATGAATAAAAAGCGGAGCCATAAAATGCTTAGACTCTGACCCATTTGTCTGGATTCCTTTTTACTTGAGGAAACATGCGGGTTAGTGAGCTACAGATTAAGGTTCATGTAATCTTTTAAAATAATGTGTAATTCCCCTGACATAACTGTGAGACAAAGTGCATTAAAATGTCAAGCATTTTCCCTGCACTTTATGACCCCCTACTCACGTGCGGACTTGTTCATGCAGTTCCCCTTTAGACCAGTGTGGGGCCTTGATCTGGCCGTACAGCAGCAGGTGCTCCTTGGTGGTCATGTGGTCAAATAGGACGTCGTATTGCATGCACACTCCTAGCTCTCTGCGGACTTCATCGATGTTGTTCTGCATGTCTCTGCCGTAGACCTCGATGGTGCCCGAAGTTGGGGCAAAAAGGCCGGTCAAGAGTGACCTAAGAAGGCATGATTATTCATTACATGAGAGAAAACAATAAGTTATTGTCACCACAGATGAAACTGATTCCACAATTCATGTTAATTAAAACAAATGTTTTGTGTTTTAAGTCAGAAAAGTTAAAATAAAACTCAAATCAAGACAACAAAAACCTTTTGTATATATTTTACACCTGGGAAAATAACTTATGCATATGCCCAATTACATGTATTTGGGTACTTCCTCTTCTGCCCTATCCTCCTAAATTATGATCTATTGTTCCCAGGAACATAACAAGACATGACATCCCTTCTAGGTTTTGGTATTTTATAAGCTTTGAGTCTTTTTCTGCTGCTGCTCTCATTGTGTGTGTAGCGTTGGATAAGACCATCAGCAAAATTAGTCACATTTAAAATGTAAATGTAAGTGCTCCAGTTGATGAAGACCCGTCAGGCTAATCTCTACCATGGTGCATTTTATGCTGCTCCAGATTCAAACAAAACAATCTCCCCGTCAGCAGCAAGCCCTTTGAGATGATTAAAAGGATGCACAAATCTAATTTAAAACACTATTTAAAACTCTACGTACAGTATGCGAATGATCCAAATAAATTTGGTATTCATCTTAAGACATGCTGAGCCTGTGAAAATGAAGAGAAACTGAGCCACACATACATTGTGGTGGTCTTGCCCGCTCCATTGTGACCAAGCAGGGTGGTGACGTGGCCCTCATAGAAGGAAACATTAAGGTCTTGAATGGCTACTCGGTCGCCATACATCTTGCTGAGACCGTGGAGGGCAACACCCACTGGGAGATCTGAGTGATCCTCGGCAGCCTGGGAGTACAGTGTACTCTGGCCTGAAAGTAACAGAGACAGAGGGAACCAGTTTATCAAACTAACAGGGGACAGGAATTATATGAAGAATGATGAAGACTAAATGTAGTGAGGTGTCAGGGGGTTAGAAAGAAAAAAAAAAGACAGACCCTGCAAGGATAGACATCATGTTCTTGCCTCAAAACACAACACCGGAGGAGACAGCATTGCTTATTGTTATCTGCTGCAAGACAGTACAATGTCATTTATTTGCTCTGTACCTTTTCCCTTGTCGTCAGAGAAAACAGGCTGCTTTTCCTGCATGATGTTGGTGAAGAGGAGTCCTCTGCGTGCCTTATTGTTTGACTTAACACAACCGCACAGTTCGGCCCAGAAGGAAGCTTTGAAAGGGAAGTACCACGGGGAAGGGATGCCATACTTTCCTGGGTTTTACAAAAAGGAAAACAATAATATTTCTCATGAAAACACAAAAAGACAAGTTTGCCAAGTAAATTATAACTGCTGAAGGCTACCTGCTTTTGGTTGACAAAGCTGACACTATCAGCTGTGTCAAAGCTTAATAAATTCACTGTACATATAAATCAAAACTTCCTCTAAAACATCTGACAGAACTTAGCCAACACGGAATACTAGCCTTTTGCTGCCTTTACTAAGGATGCAAAAAAAAGCATGAAATGTTAGCAATGCTGATTCTAATACAACATGTTATTGCTAATACTACCATTGGGCTTCATGAGCAGCTGACCTAACAAGGAATACTGAATACTCTTAACTGTATACTTTTAGAGTAACAAAAAATGAAATCAACACTGTCAAATCGAGCCTGATAACCTGAACTGCTACCATTAGCATGAAAGGCTAAGATCAGCCTTCCATCTGGTCTAACTGTACAGATGTTAAGACAAATGAATAAGATTGTATTGATAAAGCCATGATGGTTTTTATTATTTTGAAGAAAGATTATAGCCTCAGTCTGAATTTTGACATTTTTCTACACTATTTTCATCCCTAACATTTTAAGGGTCATACATTTTCTTACATTTAATAGCTTAACAGTGACAAAAAAATATCTTGCAAAATTCTTTAATTCATATTTTTTTGTTCTTATTTTCTGTCTGTACTGTTTTAATTGTTGCTGGGTGAAACACTTTGGGCTGCATGTATGTATGAAAGCCAAAAAAAGAAAGAGAGCTGAGTCAGGCTCACTGGAGGAGGACTCCTTAACTTAACATACTTAACATCTTCAATGGTTTGACTTTCTTACCTGGGAAGACCATGCGGATGTAAGCCCCAATGAAGAAATAGAGGAGGGAGTCGATGAGCATCAGCCAGCACAGCCAACCGAACGAGGCCGTGTCTCCAGCAATAGGCGAGCTGTAGGAGTTGCTCCAGTGAATGCCTAAAGAAGCCATTAGAAGAAACATTTGACTTTGTGCCCCACTGACTTAAGACAATCAAAAAGATCTTATTTAATGTAAGATGTCTAAATGTGTTTACCTTCTCCTTGAGATTCATAGCGAGAGATGTACTGACTGGCATAACTGAAACAGGTCGGGGAAAACAAACTCTGTAGGAAAACAAGAGGCAAATTAGAGTGGATGCAGACAGCAGGCAAAAAAAAATGCATGCGCTTTTCACACAATGCCTGTCTGTAATTCCCTCTGTTATTTTCTTCTGTTCTCTTGAAAACTTTGTGTAGTATGCAGTGATGTACTTCAAAAGCCTTTCACAGCGTGATGTGAAGTGTTATGTTCAAGGCAAACACAGCTTCAGGTGTTTGCTGTGCTGTTGTTTGAAGGTAAAAACTAAAACATCTGACCTCTAATTTACGGGGATAAGACAGCGAGCACAAAAAAAAAACATGTTTAGCAAAATAAAGATGTAGTAAATAAATGTGCAGGAGTTATGTCAGAGTACTGAGGTGGGGAATGTGTTTTTGAAAACACAATTGAAACATGACTCATGACAACAGGCGGTTCAGAGGTTCCTCACCAGGATGCTCTTCTGTGTCAAGGTGAGCGTCGTCTCCACCGCCATGACCACGATGAAGGGGAAGAAGCAGAGGATGTACAGAAGGCTGCCGCTCAGGCCGGCGATAAAGGTCTTGTCGAAGAAGGAGCTGACGAGGTAACTGAAGGCCAGGATGCTCAAGCCGTAGTCGCAGAGGTACAAAAACAGGAGAAAACCGTCGCTGTGGGGCAGGATGCTGCCATACTTCAGGACCAGCGTGAGGATGAAGATGGTCAATACCAGGTAGGTGGCACATTCTAGGAACCAGGCGAAGAAGTGGCTGAGCGGGTTGACTCCCATCATTTTCATGTACTGTGGATAAAGCAGGGATAAAATTCATGAGAATACACAGAAATGTTGATGAAAACACAAGTTCTTGGCTTGCTTGCAAATGTGGCTCATAAATGTTTACAGGAGAGAAGAATCCTGGAGGTACTGGAGGAGAAAAAGTCGATCAAACATTTGTTTCTGCTGCTGTGTTTTGACCTCACATGGGAAGGCTAACCATACTTCTTTTTAAGAGAATAATACCCTTTGTTTCAGGACATCTTTGAAACCCAGAACTCAATGTTTGACACAATACAAGTCTATGGTATTTTTTACAATTACTAAAGTAAAAAGAAAAGGAGAACATACCTCATGTAGCCTCAACTCTCTCTCGTGCACCAGTTTCTTAACGAAATCGGCCACAAACAGCAACCAGGCTATCATCAGCATCAGCGGGAAGACAAAAGAGATGGCCTCGAGGTACCTAGGGGAGAGCAGCGGCAACAACTGTCAGTCAAATGTGTTAAACACCTAGCATCCAATCACTGTCAACAACAGCGGATGAAAAGGACAATCATTCAGTCACGCGTTTGACAGTGAGACAGCGATGCAGAGCGGGAGAGCAATATGGAAGGAGGGTTTGGGGATTTTTGACAGCCGTGTTCTGATCCTTTCATTATTTACGCAAAATGAAATACCTCTCTTTTTCATTTTTTTTCTTTTTGGAACTTATCATCAGATGTTGCCAGGTGGGTAGTAATTGTGTGCTTGCTGTTTCTCTTACTACAACAGCTATTTTTCAAAGCTATCATGTCAGAATTTTGTATTGTAGAGTAATAAATCAGAAGGACAGAGAGGCGAGGATCATCCTATCTTACAGTTGGTCTTTAAGGCAGCCAGATAGAGACAGCAGCCCCGCTGGTGCTCCTCAGATGAGATATCAGCATTCTCGTAAGATGCACTCGAGGGCAAGCGCAAACATAGGCATTACGTTCGAGCATGATTTATTGGAAACAATGCACAGTATCGATGCACAAAAACAAAAAAAAACCCAGACCCATGCTGGATTAGATACATGCTGCATAGAAGAGTAGTGTTCTTTCTGAATGCTTGTTAAAGGCCTTCCGGCTGTTTTGAGTGTTTGAGTGTACATGGTATTCAAAAATGAATGCACAATAATAGTGAATATTCATGCACATGGTGCGGAACCAATTATAATGTGAGAGGCTACTGTGAATGACTACTTACTGTCAGTCCCAAGTGGCAAGTGAATAATGAGAGAGCATGCATTATTCCACATCAATGCCTGTGAGTCTCCTCTGAGACACTGTGTTACGTTTCCATGCATGCATCTGTAAGGGGGCATATTTATACAGTGCGTGTGTGTGTGTGTGTGTGTGTGTGTGTGTGTGTGTGTGTGTGTGTGTGTGCTTGTTTGTATGTGCACTCATGTATTTAGGAGACTCACTCATCCCGGAGGTGGCAGGGATAGGGGAAGGGCTGCAGCTGGACCGCTGGTTCTGCCACCGTCTGTCCGGTTTGGGTCGCAATGATGGCTCGATCGATGTTCTCTTGCAGATAGACGAAGCCACGGTTGTAGCGCAGGGTTTGTCTCGCTGAGATGTGCGTTTGCTTTGTGAAATAGGGGTTCCGAACTCTGTCAGTACGCATGACGTTGTCCATATGCATGCGGATGGTGTAGCTGACTTTGGGAGGCAGGGAGGATGTGAATGAGGCCTCTCTGCGCTTTCTGGATGAGTTGCTGTCTTTGGGAAGCTTGAAGATGACACCTAAAAGACAGATTGCACCATCTCACTGCATACAGTTTATACTCAGCGGAGATATTCAAAGGACAGGCTGACTCTTTAGCTGCCCTAGATAAACCGTTGCAAAAATCCGGTCTCCAAGTAGCGCCCTCACTTTGACTCATTATCAACAAAGAAGATCCCTTTAATGGGAGCACGGTAGATTAAAAAAATGTAAATGAGAATTGGTTTGATGAGGTGGATGCTCAATGTGCCTTTGATGCTGCCAGCCTCATTTACAGGCACTTAAGAAACCTTGTTGTTATCCTACCCACACATACATAAAGAAAGTCTCAACTAGATACTCTGAATGTGGGAAAATGTAGTGGGCTTCTCCCTATTATAGGGCAAAGTAATAATTACTATCATAACACTTTTGATATTATAATATAACAGTGGTTCCAGTGATACGATTTGATGTACACATGATACTGCTGTCAAGGAATGCATGGGGATGCATGTTGCACCGTCTATTGAACCTGTCCGGCTGATGGAGTCTGACATTCAAACAAAAAGCATCTCTTTATTATTCAGAGCTAGCAAAACAAAAACAGTAACATGAACATGGTTACAGTCAGACTGTAGAAAGACTGACTGGACAGATATTTTTGGTAATATTGAAGGTATGGAGAGGATGACTTTCTCGCTAAATCTGAGGGCAGGGACAGTTTTGCAGTATTGGGAAACAAATGGATTGTGTTTGTTACCAGAAGAGGTGATAACTGAGCCACTAACATGTTAATTGACATGTATGTTCATTACATAAAATATATAAATTGATATCTAGGATGTAAAAATGGCCGATGGTTCTATCTGTGTTATATTATTTTGTATGTTTGTTTACAAATATAAGGTAAAAAAAAAAAAAAAAACTGGTATTTTTACTCACTTGCATAGAGATCACGGTTTTTGGCAAGTTCCTGTCCATCAGCATTGAGCTCCTCGACTGAGTTGTAGCCACGGTAACGGTCAAATTTGACACAGGAGGAGAGGTTGACCATCAGGGTGGACAAGGTGGTGATCTGTTTAAGCATGTGTTTGTTCTTTTCCAGCATGAGTGTCATGTTCGCTTTGGAAAAAAAGAAAAAAAAGAACACATCAAAAAATATATACCGACAGGGTTTGAGTGCAGTTTAGTTTTAATTGATGGAACCCAAAACAAAAATAATCATTAGTGTTTCAAGAGGGTCTGTGGTCAACCTAATAATTACGTTTGTTGTGTATGTTTAGTGTACAGCCTTTCATCTAAGTCAGACCTTGTGAAAAAATGACTGACACGTTTACTCACATCAAGTGGAGAATACTTATGACATGTATGTTGAAATGAGCGTCAGGCTAAGGCTAAGGAGCTTTAGCCCTACGCTCATATCAGATAGCCTGGATATTTAACAGGCAATAAGCAAGGACGGCATATAAAAAGGTAAGCCTGGTATCTGAAGCTCACAAAAGTAAGACCTTCAAATGCTCACTCACAGAAGTTGCTGAGCGTCTCCTTCATTTTGCCGACATTGATGTCTGTCTGCATCTCAATGAAATTCTTCACAAAGGAATTGCCCAGGGAATTCTGAGAGAAGGAAAGAAGGGGGTGGAGGGAGAGCGGGAAGAGAGGGACGTGCAACATCATGATTCAGCTGCTGAAACTCGTCGGAGACCGCTGCAAAGTTTATCTCAAGAATTTCAGACGACAGCGAGCCAGCTAGAAAATAGGAGAGGAAAAAAGAAATCTCATGTACAGAGGACAGCTCCGAGTTGTCCTACCTGCAGCATCGGCAAAGTGTGGCTGAGTATTTGTGCAGACTTTATGATGAATTTGGAGGATTCGATCCATTCTCCGGAGTACTTTCTCAGGTCTGCGAGCTCCTGCAAGGTGGCGTTGGACTGGACAAGGACAGGACAGGGACAACATGTGAATTGTGAATTGTGTAGGCAGCAGTATACTGAAAACAGGCTCAAAACAGAACCATACAGGCAAACAGTAAAGGGCCCCACTAATGTTTATATCCCTTTCAACTCTTTGTATGCTCTACTGTATGTACTAAACCTACCTTTTCCATGATGTCCCTGGTGACAGGGGTGTCAGGAGTGAACAGAATTTGTCCCATCAGCATCGGTTTGAGGAAGGCCCAGGCGATGGCTCCTCCGGTGGTATTCACCATGTCCAGGTACATGCTCATACAGAACGGAGCTGTAAAACGGTAAAAGAGAAGAGAAACATTAGACACAGTCAAATTGACTTTCCCATAGGTGACACGCTGTAACGTTTTTTACTTTACAATCCCCAAAACTTCATATCTTTAAGTGTCCCAGCTGGGAAGTTGCAAGAACACTTGGCGGTAGGATTTTTCTTGGAGTTTTGTGGGTTTGTGGTTTTCTTTTATACAAATAGCCATATATCTCCAGCTCTAACAGTAATTCTTGACAAACTGTACAGTGAGAAAATATGTGGCAGTGATTATCATTGTTTTAACATCTTGGTGGCATCTGTTTTTACTTGAGAGCAAAATACTAGCTAGTGTTTATACTTTTTATGCTTTGACGATTTTTCAGTTTTTAGTTTCCTGACCAGGAAGATAACGGTCAATACACAAGAAATGGATTCTGGGAAAGCACTCTACTCAGTAGTTGCCAACCATGTGCATGAAGACGAAAAGCAGCACTACTGTATAAGTGTAGGGGAAAGGCTCTTTGATGTGCATACAGGAGCTCCTTTGACTGACATTAAGCTAAAATCTTTCTTTTTTTTTATATAAGTGATTTTTTTGGGCCTTTATTAAAAAGGACAGCTGAAGAGAGACAGGCAATGCTGGGAGGAAAGCGTAGGGGATGACATGCAGCAAAGGGCCGACAGAAGACCCAAACACACACACGCTGCGAAAAAAGGACCACAGCCTTCGGACCTGGTGCACGCAACATAACCGCTATCGGCGCTCCCATAAAGCTAAAATCTTGTTACAAAATAATTCATACAGAAAAAAAAGCAAATTTTCCAAACATACAGGCATTTCTTGGAAGTTTGAATCTCTCAATCATCTCCTCTCTCTTCTGGTCTTCTTGAGAGGATGGGTTGGATAAGTCTGATGTGAGCTGGAGTTGAGACAGTCCAAACAGAGCCAGGATGCCGTTGCTGCACAATGCTCGAGACAGGGTGACGAATGTAGCTTTGGTAGAGCGGCTGGACCTTAATCCTCTCGTCATCTGGGGAAAAAAGGAAATTTGATTATTTCAATACTTTATGATTTTGATGGTGACATGTCATAAAAACTGAAGGCCCTCAAAAAACCCATTAAAAAACATTTATATTCCTTATTTTCAGCTACGTGCAGGTTCACAAAATTATAGAGACAATTATGAATATATTATGAATACAGAATTATATATGTAAATTACTCACTTCATGAAATTCTTCATTTTCCTTCAAGTTGAGGTCTTCGATAGAGCGTAGGTAACTTTCCAGCTGACCAACAGCGGGAAGAATCTTGTCCATCATGCTCATCACAATTTCAGCCATCTGAAGCATAACTCCCACCAGACCTTGCATTTCGTCAGACAACACCATCTGCACAAATTTAAAATCAGTGTTATTTTCTTCAAATAGACAGCCGCCCCCCCCTCCCGGTCCCCACATACACACTTATTTCTTTATTCTCATGTTTAAGAATATAAGTACATTTTCATGACTCCAAAGACTCTATTTGTCTTTTTCATGTAAAATTTCATGTTGCAGTTTGTTATGGAGGACAGCAGCAACCTTATATGAATTTGAATAGAAGTGGTGTGCTAACATAACAACAGGAGTGGATTAATGCCTGAGTCAACGGTCTACTGCAAATACACAGACTTTTAATGTTTGGAATAAACTATGGGCAGATGTGGTCTGCAATGTTCTCTTTATTTAAACAAGTCTGCCACTTGTGTAAATACAGTACTGCATAATCAACACTATAATCCATGTGATGTGATGGATCATATTTCCAGCTCAACTGAAACGGCTGAATTTGGAAAACCTTAAATCACAGAATTAGCATGTATGGGCTCATCAGTCCTTTGGTAATTCATCAGCGTGTCAGCTTTCAGACACGTTAGATGTCCATCTTCTGTGTGCTAACAATCAGCACCTGTATTTATTTTTCTCTGCAATGGAAAACTGTTCCTATCTCAATTTCCATAGTGGACGGAGGTCAGTGGAGGATACACGCGTTCAACAAATTCAGAAAAGACTGTATTCATATGAGATAAGATAAATACATTCTCAATAAATACATAGCAGGGAGTTCAGATAACATGCAGCCTCATTCTAACACCTTCATTATATTTACAGGCAACCTGCATGTTCTATAACTTCACATGTTCTATCAATCTTATATTGCTGGTGCTTTTTTTTCATGATCAGTGTTTGTCTTGTTGGCTCACAGAGAAAATCATCAGTTGAATCAAAAAAAAAATTCTAAATGCTCGTGGGAGACGGAGCTTTATCGAGTGAAAAAATATTTTCTACAAAATGATTTCTCTGTCACTAACATGTTCTTAAAAAGAAAACACAATGTAGACTCAAACGTGTTTTACACCTCCCCGTCAGAAATCATTTCTCATTTTCCATCCAGCCAATACAGAACAATGTGCAATCACAAAAGCTCACACACAGAATGACCAAAAATAAAAACTTTAGAAGAAAACGAAGCATTTTTCTCCGAGAATCAATCTGAAGTCTTACTCTGTAGATGAGTTTCTCCATGTTAACATGGCGGGCAATCAGCAGTGAGAAGCTGTACCACTGATCAACAGGCATGGAGCAGAACATCTCTATTAATTTCACGTCTGCCTCGTCCAGTGTTGCGAATGACTTGGAGTTGCAGTGACGCAGATTGATCAACCAGGAGAGGATCTGTTTGGAGAGCAAGAGTTAAAAAGCGAATACTGGATGGTACGGTAAACACATGAATAAGATTAAAAAAAAACGTCATGTTGCTGTTGTTGTCATGGTGTGACTGATGAGCTTAACAGTGTGTTCAGTCAAATGCAGTGATATAATGATGATAGCACACTATACACTGAAGTAGAGACATTATGGGGAGGATTTTGGATCACCATTAAGTAACTGTTTGGTAGAGTTGTGTTCATTAGGAGCTGGAGAGCAGCAGGGTCAAAATCCATGTATTGCTGAACGTCCTCGACAAAGGCTGCTTCATTCCTCATCATCTCGCCGACCGTTGCCTCTTCTGGAAAATGAAGAAATACAAGTCCTCGTTGAAAAATACATTTTCATTAGTAGAATCAAACAATGTTTGTTTTCCATCCAGAACAAGTGAATTAATCTCAATAAAATACAGTTGGGGTGTTTTCTTTGCTTTTAGTCCCTTTCTTGATTTCTGTTTCAAGTTATTTCTTCCACCGTGTTTCCTAATTGAGTTTGAATGACTGTTAACCCTTTGCATCCCAAAAAGCACTATTTGAAAAGAGCTACAAGTGGCTGCTGGTCGGTTTTGGAAGAGAAGACTTTGTGATTTTGTAATGTCTCACCTAGAGGTTTGATGTTAATGTTGAGGGAGTTCAGGCTGCTGGTGTTAAAGTTCAAACCCTCACTCAGTACAGAGGTCCTGGAATCACACACACACACACACACACACACACACACACACACACACACACACACACACACACACACACACACACACACACACACACACACACACACACACACACACACACACACACAGATGTAAACACAAGTACAAAAACAGAAACTCACCTTAATAAATAAATATAAATACAAATGTGCATTTTCCTTTTTCATAATGATTTTACTTAGCTACAAGCTACTGTACATGGGCTTTGCCTTTCTATTTCTGTTCCATTCTGCCTACTATTCACAAACACATGCAAGAGGCAACTGTCTGATTTTGGAAATACTGTCAAATCCTGGGTAGAGGGTTTCTGTAAAGAGCTCAGATTACTCTTTGATATCAATGTGCTGATTACAAGTAAAGAAATAGGGAAGGGAAGGATCTAAGATGGTGTTGAGAGCATCCCCTACCAGTTGAAATTGACATCATAGGCGCTTGGATCTCCGATAACGGCCTCAAATAGTGCTTCAGACAGAGAGGTCGAGTTCATCATGAGGCTCTTCGCCACGATCTGCAGGACGGGCATCAAGGTGTAGCACAGCTGACCAGGCTCTATGGCTAAGGTCGACATCAGCATGCGCACAGTTTCTGTTTTCTCCACAGAGCACACCTAGGACAGATCAGCCATGTGAATAACTTGAGCACTTTATGAATTATAGATGTGTTGTTTTTTTTACCCACAATGAAGCGTGACTGTGATTTCAGACGCTTTAAATGAATCATTTTGACATTTTGTTGCACAATAAATGGTAGAATAAATTTGGTAAACCTGGGCAGTCAAGTTGTCTAGTTTCTCTATGAATCTGGAGTCTGTCAGGTCGATCTGGAGGAGCTCAGAAGCGATTTTGAAGGTATTTTCCATGAGGAGCAGGTTCTCTGTATAGGTAGGGAGGTAGGATGGGAGGGGGGGAGAAAGAGAGAGGTTATTAGAGTTAGACAGACGAACAGCAAAGTGAAGGGAAAAGAGGGCAATAAGGTCTGTAGGGTGACAGAATAACACGACATCCCACTGGGCTTCATTACAACTCGCACCATTACGGGGCGGTGGCGTCAAGCAGCGAGCAGCAAATGATGTGCTTAAAGTGAAGCCTTGTGCAGGACTGATGGGGCCAGGAGGGCCGGCAGAACTAGACGCTGTCGTGCATTAAAACACATTTGACAATCCCTAAGAAAGGCACCACCTCAGGCAGCGAGACGTGATGACAGAATATTTAATTAGGCCAAAATTAGACAATGGTGCTGTTTAATCTCAGGGTGCTCAACACCTACAGGCCTTTGCAATAACTACTGTTATGTGTGTAAGTGTGTGTGTGCGTGTGTGTAAAGAATATGAAAAGGTTTTTTTTTTTGGAGGGGAAGTAAAGCCCCTGCTGCTTACGAAGTGATTGTATGCACTGAAAACATTATCACACAAGCACAGACGCCAATTAAAAGGAGGTCATAGATGTCCACTTGTGCGAGCGCAAGGGGAGACGTTTAGCGAGGGCGGACGGGATAAGTGATTGAATTCTACTTTGCTAATGAGATTTAAAAAGGTGCTGAGTGGCTTTCTGCTGGAGAAGGGCCATATGGCCTTGGGCTCTTTGGGAGCTCAAGCTAAGCTGATGTGAAGTCTTATTCCTCATATCTGCGCAATGAATTATGCCACACTATAATCACGTACACAACAACAACAGCATTAAGAAAACGCTTTACGGTTTTCCCTTAGTTCCAGAGTAGCTATGAAGGTCAGAGATAAGGTTGCCTTGCATACTGTGTCACAGTTTAATGGCAAAGACTGGCAAACTGTGTTTGTATGTACATACTGTGACGGCGGCCATGTAAACACCAGCTGAAGCATCACTGTTGGCAGTACAGCAGTTTACAGTAAAGCATAGCTGCACAATAAAGCTCACGTTTAGCAGAAGCATGACTTAGCATTAGCAGAGGAAAGCTCACTAAAGAATCAGTTGTTGAATTTAATTTGAACAAAGGATAAAGCATCATTCATTTTGAGATCCTGCCACTGAATAATTAGTGCACATTACTCATAGTAATGTTGCCCTTGGTCCAAGAAGCCTCTAACTGTCTGAACTTTTTCAGAGAGATAGAAGATCCCAATCGTTAAGTTACCTGGAGATTCACTGGCAAGCGCTTTGCTGATTTTCTGAAGCATTGTGGCGAACGGAAAGTGATCGGGAATCATATCAGCAGAGTTCTGCAGGAGTTCCATTGATGACCTTCAGAAAATGTAAACAAATAGAGGAGCCATCAGAGTAATACATTGATCATTTATAAAGCAATGGGGCAAGACTTCAACGTAGATGGTATTATATGAATAGGCTAATATTATCTGAAGTCAAGTTAAAACAATATAAACAGAAGCCATATTAGAGAAGTGCAAATAGGACTTACGTCTCAAACATGCCAGGGAGAGTGAAAAAGGAAAGCATCCCCATAGTAGCGTCTATGGTGTTTTCCTGAGAAACATTCAAGTTCCAGGACATGTCGCTTGTAACTCCCTTTATCACAACACCTACATCAGGATTTGCAAAGAAAACGTGGACTGTTTCCAGTATGTCTTCTGTGGTCGGGGGGACAGAGAGGGCTTTGAACATGGCATGGTAGTCAATGTAGAAAAGGTCAATGAAGTCATCCATGGGACTCCTCACTGGCATCCATTGGGCGTCCCGTTTGCGTCTGACCCCATTCGTATGGTTAAGACCTGTCATGTCCTGCTGAAACTTGCCATGATGGAAGTTCTTCGGGCCCAGAAGACCACCAGTCGTCACTATCTGCCTCACCATTGCTACAATGTTATCAGCGAGGTCTTCAAACAGCCCCATGTGTGCTGGCATGTCCATACTCATGTTGGTAAGAGAAGACAAGAGAGGCCTTAGGATGTGGAAGATTTCAGCCAGAGCCTCAGTCAGCATATCCAATCCATACTCCTCAGTGGAGGCCAACCATGCAACCATCTCAGCCACCTTCTGCACCAGCAAGTCGGTGTCATTAGAAGCCAGAAAATGCTCCAAGCCTTGGTAAACCACAGGCACATCCTCAAACATCTCCATCAGAAATTTGACAGCTTGCCTCATCATGTCAGTTAGAGAGGCTACATCGATCTCAGAAAAGTTTCCCAGCATCATGGAGGAGATGTCCTCTGATGTAATGTTTGAATTATTTAGGAATATCATGACTGCTTCTTTGAAGATGTCCTCAGATGAACTGCTGTCTTGAATTTGATGGTAGTTGTCCAGGATGTGATGTAGTGCTTTCTCTAAAGCTTCGATGAAAGGCTGAAGGGATGGGGCCACCATTAGGAGCTGGTCTGTGAGCATCTTGAGCGAAGACAAACTGAAGGGAGGACAAATACAATGAATGTACAGTAAACTCCGTAAAACAGAAAAAATATCAATACAGAGTTAAAAACTTCATTGAGTGTAATACCAATAACATTGCAGACAAGAGACAGATGGCCACCATCCCACCAACTTCTTTAATGCAAAGCAAAGCATTTCTCTAATTTATTTCATCAATACAATGATCCTGATAATTTCTTCCAGAAGTAATATTTCTCCATAATCTATCTTTATACTTACTTATACTTATGTAGTCATAGTTTCCCATTTCACGCTCCATCATAAACTGTGGAGTCTTTCTCCTGTGATCAATGATCTATAACTCATGGACTCACACCTGATTGATTCCCTGCGATATGCAGACTGTGATCACTATCACTGTGCCCGGCTCATTATTGCAGCTGGCATATAAAGGGAAATCAATTTTAAGAGGATGTCTCAGCTAGCTAAATCATGGTTAAGCAGCTATCTGTGCAGGCCTCCCTGTTTTCAGGGAAAAGGGCATTAAATTAGGCAAGCAAAATGCAAATTGGATCTCTCCAATTCTTCGTGTAATTATATTTGAATCAAATTGGCCTGGCTGGTGTAATGTGGATAATGCTGTAACAACAAATGGAGCAGTGAGTTCATGTACAGGTGAGTCTGTGGGTCTATGCAGGAATGCCACTCTTACTGTACCAGAAAAGTTCTAAAGTGAAAAAGAAACCTGCTAAATATGATCAGAATGGGTTTTATTTTTTTTGGCTGCACTTCTATGGTATGATTGCATTGCACTGTCCTTGAATCCCGTGGCTTCAGTGTGGTCGGGTTTGTCTGATCTACTAAGGCCTCTGTCAGAGAAAAATTTGGAACAAATTTTCTTCATGTGCCTTTGGATCATTACAAAGAAAGCTGTTGCTCTTTCATTCAGCTGTACTGACCATCCAAAGTGATGTATTTTTTGTGTAAATGGAATGGTAAATGGACTTGAGCTTATATAGTGCTTTTCTAGTCTTCTGACTACTCAAAGCGCTTTTACACTGCAGGTCAGGTCACCATCAGAAGTAACTAATCCCATTCATACACCACCACTGAAGCAGTGGGAGCAATTCAGAGTTAAGGACACATCGATCTTGCCCGAGGACACATCGGACATGTTGCCCAGCTGTGGATTGAACCCTTGACCTTCTGGTTGAGAGGTGATGACTCTACCAACTGAGCCACAGCCACCGTGTAGGTTTTAAGGGTTTATGAGCTCAATGTGATTAGATATCTTGTGGGGAAATAAAGGTTATAATTACATGGATCTGGAAAACCTAGTTTTTGTGTTTTCAAGTAATCATGTAAGCAATGCTTTAGCCAGGTTAGATTTGCGTATATTTACCTGTTTAGCAGCTGCAAATCCTGGAGCTGCTTTTGCCAGTGAAGCTGCGCCTCAGGGCTCAGAGGCTGTCCTGTCAGCATGGAGAGGTGGTTTGAGAAAGTCATGATAAGTGTCTGTGCCACATGTGTGCGGTTCAAGCTGACTTGGTAGACCGATTGTAAAGTCTCGGCAATCCTTTCAGCTGTGGTATCCACTGTCATTGGTCCCATATTCATGTGCTATACAGAAAACATAGAGCAGGGATGGATTGTTAGTAATATGGCATATTGCTCTGTGTGTCAATACTGCCATCAAGTGGTGCAACTGTTAAATGCATTGTATGGGTTTTTAAAATAGGGTATACACTATATAATAATATTGAGGTCCAATCTGAGAAACAAAATACAGTATATAATATTCCAAAGTTATTATTTGTGATTGAAATTTCCTGTTGAATTTTGCATGAATGCACTCACACTCATATTCAGGTTGCTGTAGACAACTTGGGCTTCCATGTAGGCTTCTAGAACAGGCCGCAGGTTGAGGTTACACCACACAGCCATTTTTGCGTGGCCCGCTGCCTCTCTTACAGGATCCCATGCTTTGAGAACATCACTGCACTCCAATGTGTTATTAGCCTAGAGGGGCAAAACATCAACAAAAAAGACAAATGTATTGTGTTTCAGTTACATGTTACATTGTATAGAGGATACAGGTTTAGTTAGACAGAGAAAGACGAAGAACAAAGTATAAGCGAAAAGGCAGGGACACAAGGGAATTAACACAATCTCTGTGCTCATGCAGTTTACAGTGAAGCAGAGAAAAGGGCAGGAGTCTCACACAGGTATCATCCCTTCTCATAGACCTAAATACCAGGTACACACCCACATGTACTGTATAGACATAAATACATACAATGAATGTGCATACAGTAGGTCAGCTATTGAGTTTCTGCCATATTTTAAATCTCTAACAGGTTGTAAGAAGATTCCCTCTTAGGTAAACCCATAACAATGAATAACACTTTAATAATACTGTTTCATTATACAGTGTACTGATAACCTGGTATGGACCGGATGGTATCAGATAATGGCCTTAATTACTTTTAGCCCGCTAGTGTTATCAGTACATGAGAAGGAATGTTCTAAGTCCAGATACTATCAAATAAGAAACATAACATTAAATGCAATACTAATTGTACATTTTGAATGTACTTTATATATATACCGGTAGATTGAATAAGCTTTAATAATGAACCTTGAGAATCAGAATCAGAAATACTTTATTCATCCCTGGTGGGTTAATAAAGTAACACTATGACATTTGGAGAAAAAATATTTGTGCTTTCTTACTGTTAACTTTGCAATAAGAAATTATTGTAATAGTAATGTAACTTGCCATTTTTCCCTGTTTGCAGTCTTTTATGCTAAGCTAATCTAACAAGCTGTTGCTCTACTTCATATTTATTATACAGGCATGTGACATATCAATCTTCTCATCTAACTACCAGCAAAGCAAGTACATACACTATTTGTTTAAATAATACAGTTAACATATGATAGATACCAGTTTAGTGCAAACAAAGCTCTATAAAATGATATCAAATACAACCACTCTTCTGCAAATCTTATATTTATAAGGCTGAATCTGTAATCTATGGAAACAATTAAGCGCTGGTGAAGCAGTACTGATGTTTAAGTCAAGAATGGTCGCAAGAAAGATGGAGGTGCGAAGATCTGAGTAAGCCATGTCTCTAATATATTTACTTCATCAAATAGTGGATTATTGTCTTAAAAATATAGGAAAATATCTATTAAATTTAGTAGCTATTTCTGAACCTATAGCCATATGTTGATACAAGCATGGGCATTGCCAGAGGGGGGCGACAAAAGTTCTGCATTGCAGATACAAAAAATGTCATGTCAGTGTCTGTGAATTTTTTTGTTGATCAAATGATTTTCCATGTGTTGCCAAATACAAAGCATGTCTTACCTCTGACTGTGGTACATTTATACCTTTAGTTGAGGCATAAATAATTTAATCAACAAAACCCAAACAACATGTAGTAGACAGCTGCATACTGATAAATTAAGGTGTTCAACAGTCATGTTCACTGTACTCATGAGTGTAAATGTTATTAACTGTAGTTACCTGCTTACTTCTTATTCTTCTGGTCTTATAATCTATGTATTTTGTCTTCGTTGTTTTTTGTCTCTTATTCGTTTTAATTGTACTCTCGATGTCATTGTAAATGAGGGCTTGCCCTCAATGATTTCTCGAGAATAAATAAAGGTAAAATAAAAATAAAAATAGATGTTACCAAATTATTTTTGTCCCACTGGTATGAGAATGTTTTCTGTCAAAGTCTGTATGAAGAGTAGATAAGCATACAAAAGTATATGCAGGCAGGTGCCGAAAAACAGCATGTCCTCGCTGTGCTCTGACGTCACTGAATCATTTGGAAACTATCACATATAAAGATGTGACATAAGATGTGACACCATGAGAGATAGGCATTCTTAACAGCAATACAGCATGACCATTAGTCATACAGTAGCTTTCCTCTCCACCTCACTTTGTCTCTCTCACACGTACACACTAACTCACAAGCAAATGTTCAGACAACACTCAGCAAATGACTGTAAAGATACAGACTTCTACAGACCATTGTGATAAAGTATGTACAAGTATTATTCGAAGAAGAACAGTGGCAGTCTAACCTGCTGAGCCGCCTGCACCGTGTGTTCAATGGCAACCTGCATTCTTTCTGTGACTTCAGTTAGGTTAAAGTGACTGCTGTTCACAGATTGTGCAATTTCTTTCATCAGAGTCACCATGGGCTTCTGAAGGCTAAGTATCATCACTGTGAGGGAGAAAGACAAATAGTTTAAACAACATAAAATAGTCTGTACAAAAAATAACTTACATAAAAAAGGTAACAGGTTAAAACATTTGTTCTGTTTGTTATGCGAAGGAAATGTAGGACAACCTGTTCTGGTACTTTTAAGGTATGTGATGTTATGTTTTGAAAGGTATGCTTTGCAAATGTAAGAAGACTGCCATGCTCATAAGGAGTGTTCTCACCATTTTCTGCATGCAAGTTGTTCACCAAACTTCCTACGATTTTCTCAAAGAGGGGGACAACAGATGAGACACTCTCCCACAGCTCTGTTCCTTCAAGGAGTGACAGTAGGGCTTCTAATATGTTTTCAAGTCTGTGAAAAAAAAACGGGCATTGGTTAAGGGGGATCACATAAGCAGGTTTGTTTTTCTATCACAAGTGTGTATTAAACGTACTTGTCCCACGTGACTTGGTCCGCCGTTCCAGTTATCACCTGCTCCAGTATTGGGGCTAGCTGAGCAAAGCCCTCAAGAGATGAAACAGTTACATGTGAGGCTGGACCTCCCATGATGATTGACCAAAGCATGCCCAGGAATTTCCCCATCTTATGATAAAAAACAAGGGACACATGTTTCAAATATTTATGCAACACAAAACTTTACCTACAAGGTTGTGTTTCAAATGTCCTTTGATCTATGCAATACAATAAGAACGCTGAGTGCAGGACAAAATTCTTGGATAAAGATCAAGTAAGGTTTTGTTTGACTGTCTATGATGATAAATGACTGTCTTTCAGTGCCCTTACAACCAGCAGACAAGTGCTTTGGCAGAAGGGCGTCGGTATAACAGTCCAGTATTTATTTAGAATGTAAAAACATGTTGCACACCTTTCCAATGTTTAATTTTCCACAAAATGAAACCAACAAAAACAGAAGCAACTTGTAAAGCATTACAACATTATTTGTTAAGCCTTACCTTTCCAATAATCATGGGCACATTTTCTGCTGATGCATTCTCAAACATTGCCCAGAGACTCATGTTGCCTAAAATCACAAAAAAAAAAATTCAATATTAAATGTATACATTTTGCTATTATTTCATTTTTTATTTTTTTTTAATACATTTTTTGCAGTTTTTTTCTACATTAAAAGATGTCAAATTTCATCACATATTTTGTTGATCCTGGCACATTTATATATATTTTTTTCAAACATACAAGAATACAACATAAAAAAATGAAATAAATAAAGAACATACTCTCTTAATTTAATTTAATTTATATACATATTATTCCACTCCATCTGTTTCCTTTACCCATTTACTCCAGTTACTCATGAATTCATCTTCTCTGTTTCTTACCCGATAGCCTATAACCTATAATTGCATTTGTTATTTGGAGTGACATGTCTTAACATTCTCTAATTCTTGAAAAAACAAAGTATACAATGCAGCCTGCACGCCATCTGAGTTCATCAAGATTCACGTTTTGGCCACCCACAATGAGACAGAGTAGCATGACTTGCCTTGGCCAGACTGTAGGAAGAAGTGAGTGATGTTGATGAGGGTTGAAACGTAAGCCTGGGCAGTGCTGTTTGGCGGCAGGAGGCTCTGGACTGTAATCAGCTCGTTCAAAATTCTTAACAAACAAAGCACATCAATATTTCAGATCTGGGCATGTCTTATCAAAAGGTCAAGGACTTTTTGTTAAAAAGTTGGTAGGACCATACAACAATAAAAATGCATTGGTACCACTTACTGTACTTTCAGCTCTTATACACAGATGAAAAATAAATAAATACTTGTTATACTCTTTTTAAAGTCCATTTATGTACACTAATCTGATTAATTGGGCAGTCTGGGCAAACAACACAACTGATTTCATTTTAAAGTTGATAGATTAATAAACTTACATGCTTGGAGTTGTATTTTCTCTCCGTAAAATGAAAGCAAGTCCTATGTTAACTGTCTTTTCTTGTTCTGTTTTGGTCTAAACACCTAAGCAGCTAAACGATCCACTATGTTCATAATCTTGGAGATGCCTTTGTCCACTGGTTTGTGATGGGCAGCAAGTACAGTGGGTTTATAGATTAGTTTATTGAAGCTCCTTACTGTTTTTGTGTGTAAACCAAAACAGCGGAGTTGGGGGTTGTTAAACCAAACCTTTGAGCTTTAAATTAGTCAAAAGCTCTGTACAACTGAGGGGAACTAGAGTCCACTGATAATGTGTGTGCCAAGACACTTAATACATAAACATTTGTTATGCCGTATTCTAAAGCAACCCAATGGGACCTACCTAAAAGCATTTATTTGTATTACTATTTTTGGCCTTTTTCATCTTTATTATATAAGACAGCTACGGATAGAGAAGAAACATTGGGAGGACAAAGTAGGGGATAATATTCAGCAAAGGGCCAAGGTCGGACTATAGCCTCTGTAAATGGTTGACGCATCATAACCATTAGGCGATCTGGCACCTGCTAAAAACATTTCTTCTACTAACTAATAACAATCTTAGATCCCAAAACCTGTCCAAGATCTTGAGTATTAGTTCACTTGGCTTGTCATTTAACATATATATCATACATATTGAGAATCTCAGAAGGAATCTGTTGGTGTATTTATAATTTATAATATAAATGCAACAATATATTCTTCGTCACCACCAATGACACTTTGGTATACTTTTGTTGATGAGCTCTATCAAGATTTTTTTGAAAAATGTAAACAAAATTCAATGGTAATGCAAATGAAATTAAATGAGAAATTCAGAAAATTCAGAAAGAAAAAAAACTCACATGTGATTCCAGCCGTCTGGTCCACTGGCCATGAGGCTGCTCTCAAAATATGTGGTTGCTACTTTGATTGCAGGTAGTAGGTATTCTGATATTTCTGGTAATATCGTTTCGATGACATTCTCAACGTTCTTGAGGATTTGGATGGAGACTAAACGTGAGGAATTAAAATTCATGTCTGGTTGGACAATGAGCTTAAGTGAGTTATTCACAATTTCCAGGATGTTCTGCTCAATGTGTGGGAGTGGGCCATTGGTGGTTGCGCTCAGGATCTGCATAGAACTTTGGACTGCTTCCAAGATGGCTGCTATGAAGTAGTCACTTTGAATGCCACCTGGTCGCTCTGCCACCAGTAGGGCATTTTTCAGGGACTCAGTGATATTGCTGATGATGGAAAGGTAGCCCAATTGTTCAGTGGCTGGACCTCCCATGATGATTGACCAAAGCATGCCCAGGAATTTCCCCATCTTATGATAAAAAACAAGGGACACATGTTTCAAATATTTATGCAACACAAAACTTTACCTACAAGGTTGTGTTTCACATGTCCTTTGATCTATGCAATATGATAAGAACGCTGAGTGCAGGACAAAAATCTTGGATAAAGATCAAGTAAGGTTTTGTTTGACTGTCTATGATGATAAATGACTGTCTTTCAGTGCCCTTACAACCAGCAGACATGTGCTTTGGCAGAAGGGCGTTGGTATAACAGTCCAGTATTTATTTAGAATGTAAAAACATGTTGCACACCTTTCCAATGTTTAATTTTCCACAAAATGAAACCAACAAAAACAGAAGCAACTTGTAAAGCAAATATACAACATTATTTGTTAAGCCTTACCTTTCCAATAATCATGGGCACATTTTCTGCTGATGCATTCTCAAACATTGCCCAGAGACTCATGTTGCCTAAAATCACAAAAAAAAAATTCAATATTAAATGTATACATTTTGCTATTATTTCATTTTTTATTTTTTTTTAATACATTTTTTGCAGTTTTTTTCTACATTAAAAGATGTCAAATTTCATCACATATTTTGTTGATCCTGGCACATTTATATATATTTTTTTCAAACATACAAGAATACAACATAAAAAAATGAAATAAATAAAGAACATACTCTCTTAATTTAATTTAATTTATATACATATTATTCCACTCCATCTGTTTCCTTTACCCATTTACTCCAGTTACTCATGAATTCATCTTCTCTGTTTCTTACCTGATAGCCTATAACCTATAATTGCATTTGTTATTTGGAGTGACATGTCTTAACATTCTCTAATTCTTGAAAAAACAAAGTATACAATGCAGCCTGCACGCCATCTGAGTTCATCAAGATTCACGTTTTGGCCACCCACAATGAGACAGAGTAGCATGACTTGCCTTGGCCAAACTCTAGGAAGAAGTGAGTGATGTTGATGAGGGTTGAAACGTAAGCCTGGGCAGTGCTGTTTGGCGGCAGGAGGCTCTGGACTGTAATCAGCTCGTTCAAAATTCTTAACAAACAAAGCACATCAATATTTCAGATCTGGGCATGTCTTATCAAAAGGTCAAGGACTTTTTGTTAAAAAGTTGGTAGGACCATACAACAATAAAAATGCGTTAGTACCACTTACTGTACTTTCAGCTCTTATACACAGATGAAAAATAAATAAATACTTGTTATACTCTTTTTAAAGTCCATTTATGTACACTAATCTGATTAATTGGGCAGTCTGGGCAAACAACACAACTGATTTCATTTTAAAGTTGATTGATTAATAAACTTACATGCTTGGAGTTGTATTTTCTCTCCGTAAAATGAAAGCAAGTCCTATGTTAACTGTCTTTTCTTGTTCTGTTTTGGTCTAAACACCTAAGCAGCTAAATGATCCACTATGTTCATAATCTTGGAGATGCCTTTGTCCACTGGTTTGTGATGGGCAGCAAGTACAGTGGGTTTATAGATTATTTTATTGAAGCTCCTTACTGTTTTGTGTGTAAACCAAAACAGCGGAGTTGGGGGTTGTTAAACCAAACCTTTGAGCTTTAAATTAGTCAAAAGCTCTGTACAACTGAGGGGAACTAGAGTCCACTGATAATATGTGTGCCAAGACACTTAATACATAAACATTTGTTATGCCTTATTCTAAAGCAACCCAATGGGACCTACCTAAAAGCATTTATTTGTATTATTATTTTTGGCCTTTTTCATCTTTATTATATAAGACAGCTACGGATAGAGAAGAAACATTGGGAGGACAAAGTAGGGGATAACATTCAGCAAAGGGCCAAGGTCGGACTATAGCCTCTGTAAATGGTTCACGCATCATAACCACTAGGCGATCTGGCACCTGCTAAAAACATTTCTTCTACTGACTAATAACAATCTTAGATCCCAAAACCCGTCCAAGATCTTGAGTATTAGTTCACTTGGCTTGTCATTTAACATATATATCATACATATTGAGAATCTTAGAAGGAATCTGTTGGTGTATTTCTAATTTATAATATAAATGCAACAATATATTCTTCGTCACCACCAATGACACTTTGGTATACTTTTGTTGATGAGCACTATCAAGATGTTTTTAGAAAATGTAAACAAAATTCAATGGTAATGCAAATGAAATTAAATGAGAAATTCAGAAAGAAAAAAAACTCACATGTGATTCCAGCCGTCTGGTCCACTGGCCATGAGGCTGCTCTCAAAATATGTGGTTGCTACTTTGATTGCAGGTAGTAGGTATTCTGATATTTCTGGTAATATCGTTTCGATGACATTCTCAACGTTCTTGAGGATTTGGATGGAGACTAAACGTGAGGAATTAAAATTCATGTCTGGTTGGACAATGAGCTTAAGTGAGTTATTCACAATTTCCAGGATGTTCTGCTCAATGTGTGGGAGTGGGCCATTGGTGGTTGCGCTCAGGATCTGCATAGAACTTTGGACTGCTTCCAAGATGGCTGCTATGAAGTAGTCACTTTGAATGCCACCTGGTTGCTCTGCCACCAGTAGGGCATTTTTCAGGGACTCAGTGATATTGCTGATGATGGAAAGGTAGCCCAATTGTTCAGTGGCTGGACCTCCCGTGATGATTGACCAAAGCATGCCCAGGAATTTCCCCATCTTATGATAAAAAACAAGGGACACATGTTTCAAATATTTATGCAACACAAAACTTTACCTACAAGGTTGTGTTTCACATGTCCTTTGATCTATGCAATACAATAAGAACGCTGAGTGCAGGACAAAAATCTTGGATAAAGATCAAGTAAGGTTTTGTTTGACTGTCTATGATGATAAATGACTGTCTTTCAGTGCCCTTACAACCAGCAGACATGTGCTTTGGCAGAAGGGCGTTGGTATTACAGTCCAGTATTTATTTAGAATGTAAAAACATGTTGCACACCTTTCCAATGTTTAATTTGCCACAAAATGAAACCAACAAAAACAGAAGCAACTTGTAAAGCAAATATACAACATTATTTGTTAAGCCTTACCTTTCCAATAATCATGGGCACATTTTCTGCTGATGCATTCTCAAACATTGCCCAGAGACTCATGTTGCCTAAAATCACAATAAAAAAACTGTGAACTTTGATTTCAATATTAAATGTATACATTTTGCTATTATTTCATTTTTTAATTTTTTTAATACATTTTTTGCAGTTTTTTTCTACATTAAAATTTGCCAAATTCTATCACATATTTTGTTGATCCTGGGACATTTATATATATATTTTTTGTCAAACACACAAGAATACAACATAAAAAAATGAAATAAATAAAGAACGTACTCTCTTAATTTAATTTAATTTATATACATATTATTCCACTCCATCTGTTTCCTTTACCCATTTACTCCAGTTACTCATGAATTCATCTTCTCTGTTTCTTACCCGATAGCCTATGACCTATAATTGCATTTGTTATTTGGAGTGACATGTCTTAACATTCTCTAATTCTTGAAAAAACAAAGTATACAATGCAGCCTGCACGCCATCTGAGTTCATCAAGATTCACGTTTTGGCCACCCACAATCACACATGACTTGCCTTGGCCAGACTCTAGGAAGAAGTGAGTGATGTTGATGAGGGTTGAAACGTAAGCCTGGGCAGTGCTGTTTGGCGGCAGGAGGCTCTGGATTTTAATCAGCTCGTTCAAAATTCTTAACAAACAAAGCACATCAATATTTCAGATCTGGGCATGTCTTATCAAAAGGTCATCATGTCTAAATACATGTTATCAAAGCATTGAATTCATTTCTGTCTTGTTTCAGTTATCTATCAAGACCATTGGATGTGAATTACAGTAAGTTCAGTGGAATGCATATGCCTGCTGGTTTTTGACTAAAGGACTTTTTGTTAAAAAGTTTGGTAGGACCATACAACAATAAAAATGCTTTAGTACCACTTACTGTACTTTCAGCTCTTTTACACAGATGAAAAATAAATAAATACTTGTTATACTCTTTTTAAAGTCCATTTATGTACACTAATCTGATTAATTGGGCAGTCTGGGCAAACAACACAACTGATTTCATTTTAAAGTTGATTGATTAATAAACTTACATGCTTGGAGTTGTATTTTCTCTCCGTAAAATGAAAGCAAGTCCTATGTTAACTGTCTTTTCTTGTTCTGTTTTGGTCTAAACACCTAAGCAGCTAAATGATCCACTATGTTCATAATCTTGGAGATGCCTTTGTCCACTGGTTTGTGATGGGCAGCAAGTACAGTGGGTTTATAGATTATTTTATTGAAGCTCCTTACTGTTTTGTGTGTAAACCAAAACAGCGGAGTTGGGGGTTGTTAAACCAAACCTTTGAGCTTTAAATTAGTCAAAAGCTCTGTACAACTGAGGGGAACTAGAGTCCACTGATAATGTGTGTGCCAAGACACTTAATACATAAACATTTGTTATGCCGTATTCTAAAGCAACCCAATGGGACCTACCTAAAAGCATTTATTTGTATTACTATTTTTGGCCTTTTTCATCTTTATTATATAAGACAGCTACGGATAGAGAAGAAACATTGGGAGGACAAAGTAGGGGATAATATTCAGCAAAGGGCCAAGGTCGGACTATAGCCTCTGTAAATGGTTCACGCATCATAACCACTAGGTGATCTGGCACCTGCTAAAAACATTTCTTCTACTAACTAATAACAATCTTAGATCCCAAAACCCGTCCAAGATCTTGAGTATTAGTTCACTTGGCTTGTCATTTAACATATATATCATACATATTGAGAATCTTAGAAGGAATCTGTTGGTGTATTTCCAATTTATAATATAAATGCAACAATATATTCTTCGTCACTACCAATGACACTTTGGTATACTTTTGTTGATGAGCACTATCAAGATGTTTTTAGAAAATGTAAACAAAATTCAATGGTAATGCAAATGAAATTAAATGAGAAATTCAGAAAATTCAGAAAGAAAAAAAACTCACATGTGATTCCAGCCGTCTGGTCCACTGGCCATGAGGCTGCTCTCAAAATATGTGGTTGCTACTTTGATTGCAGGTAGTAGGTATTCTGATATTTCTGGTAATATCGTTTCGATGACATTCTCAACGTTCTTGAGGATTTGGATGAAGACTAAACGTGAGGAATCAAAATTCATGTCTGGTTGGACAATGAGCTTAAGTGAGTTATTCACAATTTCCAGGATGTTCTGCTCAATGTGTGGGAGTGGGCCATTGGTGGTTGCGCTCAGGATCTGCATAGAACTTTGGACTGCTTCCAAGATGGCTGCTATGAAGTAGTCACTTTGAATGCCACCTGGTCGCTCTGCCACCAGTAGGGCATTTTTCAGGGACTCGGTGATATTACTGATGAACGAAAGGTAGCCCAATTGTTCAGTGTTTTCAAGTCTGTGGAAAAAAAAACGGGCATTGGTTAAGGGGGATCACATAAGCAGGTTTGTTTTTCTATCACAAGTGTGTATTAAACGTACTTATCCCACATGACTTGGTCCGCCGTTCCAGTTATCACCTGCTCCAGTATTGGGGCTAGCTGAGCAAAGCCCTGAAGAGATGAAACAGTTACATGTGAGGCTGGACCTCCCATAATGATTGACCAAAGCATGCCCAGGAATTTCCCCATCTTATGATAAAAAACAAGGGACACATGTTTCAAATATTTATGCAACACAAACCTTTACCTACAAGGTTGTGTTTCACATGTCCTTTGATCTATGCAATACAATAAGAACGCTGAGTGCAGGACAAAAATCTTGGATAAAGATCAAGTAAGGTTTTGTTTGACTGTCTATGATGATAAATGACTGTCTTTCAGTGCCCTTACAACCAGCAGACGTGCTTTGGCAGAAGGGCGTTGGTATAACAGTCCAGTATTTATTTAGAATGTAAAAACATGTTGCACACCTTTCCAATGTTTAATTTGCCACAAAATGAAACCAACAAAAACAGAAGCAACTTGTAAAGCAAATATACAACATTATTTGTTAAGCCTTACCTTTCCAATAATCATGGGCACATTTTCTGCTGATGCATTCTCAAACATTGCCCAGAGACTCATGTTGCCTAAAATCACAATAAAAAAACTGTGAACTTTGATTTCAATATTAAATGTATACATTTTGCTATTATTTCATTTTTTAATTTTTTTGCAGGTTTTTTCTACATTAAAAGTTTTCAAATTTCATTACATATTTTGTTCATCCTGGCACATTCATATTTTTTTCAAACATACAAGAATACATACAACATAAAAAAATGAAATAAATAAAGAACCGTACTCTCTTAATTTAATTTAATGTATATACATATTATTCCACTCCATCTGTTTCCTTTACACATTTACTCCAGTTACTGAATTCATCTTCTCTGTTTCTTAGCCGATAGCCTATAACTGTAGGTCATTTACATAGCCCCGGTTCTCTGAGTAGCATGAGTGAGTGTCTCACTATCGGCGAACGCCTCCTGCGTGACCTCGTCAGAAGCTTAATAACACTACGCCAGCCCTCATTGGCTGGCAAGGATGACGTCTAAGTCTGGAGGGGAGGGGACCCTCCCCCTATATAACAGGCAGGCATAGCGTCAGCCGTCATTCAAACAAGCTCACCTCTTCCTCACTTCCATAGCAAAGAGGGTGGTCTGGTGAGACATAAGAGCATGTATCTCACCAATGCGTTCAGCTGACAACATCTTCAGTTCCACCTGTTCCAAAGGTTCAAATGGGGAGCCAGAGAGAGCATCCAGTACCGTGGGGAGATCCCATGACGGAGCTGGTGGCCTGGATGTAGGCAGTTTCCTCCTTGCACCCTTCATAAATTGACACACCAATGGATGTTGACCCACAGTCCTCTCATCAAAACCAATATGGCAAGCCGGATACACTTTGATGGTTGAGAAAGCCTTACCCTTCTCTATAAGGTTCTGTAAGAATGACAGAATCACTGCCACAGAACACTGAAAAGGAATAGCCTGCGACTCTGAGGAAAAGCTTTCAAACACACGCCACTTATGCTCATACAACTTCCTAGTTGAAGAGGCCCTGGCGCACTGAATAGTATCAATAACACTGTGGTGGAGTCCCACCACATTTAGATTGAACCACTCACGGGCCAGGCCCACAGGGCCAGCCTCTCTGGGTGAGGGTGAAATATCTCTCCCTGCGCCTGAGACAGTAGGTCCCTGGGCACTGGTAACAGCCACGGTGGGCCGGACAGGAGTTGAAAAATCTCCGCCATCCAGTGCTTTCCCGGCCAATGTGGGGCTACCAGAATCATCGACAGAGCTCCTTCTCTCACTCTGGCCAGAGTGGGAGGAATGAGTGCTACTGGTGGAAAGGCATACAGGAGGGTCTTCGGCCACTCGTGTGCCAGTGCATCCACTCCCAGCGGGGCTCCCTGATCTCTCAGAGAGATAAACATGGGGCACTGAGCATTGTCCACTGTAGCATAAATGTCCACAGTTGCCTGACTGAATCGTGACCAAATCTGCCTCGGGGTGAAGCTTCCAGTCTGCGTACAGCGGGTTGCCCCTGGATAACAGATCTGCCCCGTAGTTCAGAATGCCCGGCACATGCGTAGCTCTCAGAGACAGCAGGTGTGCACTGCCCCACACTATCAGTCTGTGTGCCAGTGTGTGTAACTGGGGGGAACTCAGCCCACCCTGTCTGTTTAGGCCACCACGGTAGAATTGTCCGTTCTCACCAAAACATGATGACCCTTTAGCCACGGGAGGAAATGTTTCAGAGCCAAATGAACAGCCAGCAGCTCCAGACAGTTTATGTGAGCAGAGGGCATGTGAGAGCCCCATTTCCCATTCACTGTTCTTCCCTCGTGAGTGGCTCCCCAGCCCAACAGAGAGGCGTCTGTCGTGATCACCTTCCTGTTGTGGACAGTTCCCAATCTGACCCCTTGAATGAGGAAAACTGGGCTCCTCCATTGTCTGAGAGCAAGAGAGCAGTCTGCAGTGACCCTCATATGGCGGTGACCGTCGCGGTGAGGGTCTAGTCCCAGAGAAGCCACCCAGCGCTGAATGCCTCTCATGTATAGACGTCCCAGAGGTATAGCCACCACAGAGGAGGCCATCAGGCCTAAGAGCCCCTGGCACTGTGTAAGGGTAACTATGTCGCCCCTGCAAAAAAGTGCCAGACATGCTTGCATCGTCTGCACTCTCTCCGGGGACAAAAAGGCCTTGGCCTGGACTGAGTCCAGGGTGAGCCCTATAAATGTGACCCGTTGAGCAGGTATCATCATGCTCTTTTCCACATTTATCTGAAAACCCAGACCCATCAGGTGTTGTGAGAGAACCTCTGTATGACAGGCTGCCTCTTGTTGGGAGGGAGCTACCACCAGCCAGTCGTCGATATATGTGGCTACTCTGATGCCCCTCTCCCTGAGAGGTGCTACAGCTGCCTCGATGCATTTTACAAACACCCTCGGGCTTAGAGATAGGCCAAATGGGAGGACCATATACTAGTAAGCTATCCCCCGAAAGGCAAATCTCAGGTATTTCCTGTGCGGGGGATAAATCGGAATATGAAAATAGACGTCCCTTAGGTCGATTGACGTGAACCAGTCGCCTGCACGCACGAAACGCAGCAGCGAAGCATGTGTCAACATTTTGAACCTGTACTTTCTTAGATGATGGTTTAGGGCTCAGAGGTCTAAAATGGCTCTCATACCCCTCCCCCCTTTCTTTGGGACAAGAAAATACCTCAAGTAGAAACTGCTGTGGCTCTCCTCGGGAGGCACAACTCTTAAAGCTCCTTTCTACCTTAGTGTGGAAAATCGGGATGCGCCGGAGCGCAAGGCACGTGTGAGTAGCGTGCTTCACAGCTGCGGGAGTGTTCAACCCCGCAGGCTGTGTTATTGCAGATAGTGATCTGTTTTTCAACATTTTTATTTTCTGCATATTTTTTATTTGTTTGGACAGCGCCCTTGGCCTTTTGCCTGGATGCGCCTGTCGGGACATTTCTATTACAGAGTACATTTAAATGCTTACATGACATTGACCGTTTGGTCCTGAACATTGTCTCTGCTTTTCCCTGGGTGGCGTTGGAACACGCGCACCGACCCGGGTGGAACACATCCCTCTGAACTGGCTCCGGAACAGAGCTGGAAAGAGAGAGAGCGACCCGTGAAGAGGTCTGACAGGGCTCGCTCTCCCAGCGAGGGGAGGCTATCAGGCTGCCCGCTTCTTCCTCTTTAACATCGCAGCTGCGGGAGGAGGATGAGGCGGCACCGCCTGAGGTCTGGCCTGAGGAGACTGCTTCCTTGCCCATGGGGTCTTTCCACCTCTGGGGGCCTGGGAGGCCGACTGCGGTTTAGGCATTTTGGGGAGCTCCTCTTTTTCCTTCGCTGACAGGTTGGTGAGCGCAAGCCAGCGTACTCTCTCCTGGAGGACCATCAGACCCATGGCTCTCCCCGTAGCCTGGACGGCTACCTTGTGGAGGTGGAGGATGTGGTCTGTTATCACACAGATTTCTTCCCACAAGGAGGTATCTGGTTTCGGCGTCATGTCCTCTTCTAGTTCAGCCTGGTAGGCTGACAGAATGGCGGAAGCATTTATGGCTCTCGCTGACAGCGCCGTTGCCTTGTAACACTTGTCAGTGAGGCTGGACTGAAAGCGGTCCGTCTTGAAAGGGAGAGACGGAGCCGAAGAAGACATGGAGGTCTTCAGGTGGAGATGATTCGCCACCAGCGGCTCAATAGGCGGCATATTGCGGAGTCCGCGCGGCTCCATCCCTTCACAATCCAGCAGTGAACTTCCCGCAATGGGGTGTTTCTCGCTGTATGGCCAGTCTTTCCACGTGACAGCTAACTCCTCGAGCAGCTCCGGAAAAAACGGCAACAGTTGCTTTCCTGTCTTTTTTGCCTTCTGCAGTCTCTTGCCATCAAAGCGGAATTTAGCAGCTTCGGCTTGAGCGACGGGCCATGGGATATTCAGCCTGCCGGCCGCTCATCTGCACATATCTTGCATGCCAAGATCCAGGGGAGATGATGTCGGGGGTTGGTCACCTTCATCGGCGCCGAGAGGCTTAGCAGCCCCAGTGCTAGCCGAGAAAAGGGATTCCTCCTCCTCCTCCTCATCGTCCGACAGAAGGAGCCCCGAGTCTGTCGACTCTTCATCCTTATCGGCATCTCCCAGGGTAGAACTGGAGGAAGCCTCCGAATCCCCCTGCCTCCAGCTCCGGGAAAACGATGTCCGGGGGTGGAGGGGCTATGTCCGCCCAGCTCAGCCCAGGTGTGACGGCCAGAGCCTCGGACATGACAATGTCTCCCTCCCAAGAAGCGGATCTCCCTCGGAGAAGCTTTTGGGGGAACGCAGCGGAGTGGATGCACTCGTCCGTTGACTTTACAGCGGCCCAGGCATGGGAGAGTCCCAGGCACGCCACACAAACGGGGTGAGTGTCCCAACTGGAGATTTTATTGCCGCAGGGGCATAGCTTATGGCTTTTTGCGGCTTCACTGTCGTTAGCCATCTCCATGGTTTGCCAATGGGCTACAGGTGCTAGCGAGACTGACTACAAGCTTGTGCAGCTACATCGGCTGGGAGGGGGTAAATATTGCTATTTCCCGCTAGCGTTTAGAGTGAAAATGGTGTTTAACACTCTTAAAATTGAATCGGTATTGCTACCTATAACAGAAAAAAATCAAAACGGTATTGCTACCTTTATTGATAAGTGGAATGTTGCTACTCTGGGTGAAAAGTATTGTTACTTTGAAACTAAAGTGTTGCCACTTCAACCACGAACTAGCTTGAAAGAGTATTGCTACTGCTTCAGGAACTAGTGACACTGTATGACCAGCAAAGCGCCCAGTGACCGAGTTGTGGGCTCAGTCTGCGGACAGTTCAGCTTAGCTTAGTTAATACAGGTGTCGAAAAGGCTTCTGTGAGAAGCGAGAAGAGGTTTTTGAATGACGGCTGACGCTATGCCTGCCTATTATATAGGGTGAGGGTCCCATCCCCTCCAGACATAGACGTCATCCTTGCCAGCCAATGAGGGCTGGCGTAGTGTTATTAAGCTTCTGACGAGGTCACGCAGGAGGTGTTCCCCCATAGTGAGACACGAAATGAATGCTATGAAAGAGAACCTATAATTGCATTTGTTATTTGGAGTGACATGTCTTAACATTCTCTAATTCTTGAAAAAACAAAGCATACAATGCAGCCTGCACACCATCTGAGTTCATCAAGATTCACGTTTTGGCCACCCACAATCACACAGAGAAGCATGACTTGCCTTGGCCAGACTCCAGGAAGAAGTGAGTGATGTTGATGAGGGTTGAAACGTAAGCCTGGGCAGTGCTGTTTGGCGGCAGGAGGCTCTGGACTGTAATCAGCTCGTTCAAAATTCTTAACAAACACAGCACTTCAATATTTCAGATCTGGGCATGTCATCATGTCTAAATACATGTTATCAAAGCATTGAATTCATTTCTGTCTTGTTTCAGTTATCTATCAAGACCATTGGATGTGAATTACAGTAACATCAGTGGAATGCATACGCCTGCTGGTTATTGACTAAAGGACGTTTTGTTAAAAAGTTGGTAGGACCATACAACAATAAAAATGCTTTAGTACCACTTACTGTACTTTCAGCTCTTATACACAGATGAAAAATAAATAAATACTTGTTATACTCTTTTTAAAGTCCATTTATGTACACTAATCTGATTAATTGGGCAGTCTGGGCAAACAACACAACTGATTTCATTTTAAAGTTGATAGATTAATAAACTTACATGCTTGGGAGTTGTATTTTCTCTCCGTAAAATGAAAGCAAGTCCTATGTTAACTGTCTTTCTTGTTCCGTTTTGGTTTGTGATGGGCAGCAAGTACAGTGGGTTTATAGATTATTTTATTGAAGCTCCTTACTGTTTTGTGTGTAAACCAAAACAGTGGAGTTGGGGGTTGTTAAACCAAACCTTTGAGCTTTAAATTAGTCAAAAGCTCTGTACAACTGAGGGGAACTAGAGTCCACTGATAATGTGTGTGCCAAGACACTTAATACATAAACATTTGTTACGCCTTATTCTAAAGCAACCCAATGGGACCTACCTAAAAGCATTTATTTGTATTACTATTTTTGGCCTTTTTCATCTTTATTATATAAGACAGCTACGGAGAGAGAAGAAACATTGTGAGGACAAAGTAGGGGATGACATTCAGCAAAGGGCCAAGGTCGGACTATAGCCTCTGTAAATGGTTCACGCATCATAACCACTAGGTGATCTGGCACCCGCTAAAAACATTTCTTCGACTAACTAATAACAATCTTAGATCCCAAAACCTGTCCAAGATCTTGAGTATTAGTTCACTTGGCTTATTATTTAACATATATATCATACATACTGAGAATCTTAGAAGGAATCTGTTGGTGTATTTCTAATTTATAATATAAATGCAACAATATATTCTTCGTCACCACCAATGACACTTTGGTATACTTTTGTTGATGAGCACTATCAAGATGTTTTTAGAAAATGTAAACAAAATTCAATGGTAATGCAAATGAAATTAAATGAGAAATTCAGAAAATTCAGAAAGAAAAAAAACTCACATGTGATTCCAGCCGTCTGGTCCACTGGCCATGAGGCTGCTCTCAAAATATGTGGTTGCTACTTTGATTGCAGGTAGTAGGTATTCTGATATTTCTGGTAATATTGTTTCGATGACATTCTCAACGTTCTTGAGGATTTGGATGGAGACTAAACGTGAGGAATCAAAATTCATGTCTGGTTGGACAATGAGCTTAAGTGAGTTATTCACAATTTCCAGGATGTTCTGCTCAATATGTGGGAGTGGGCCATTGGTGGTTGCGCTCAGGATCTGCATAGAACTTTGGACTGCTTCCAAGATGGCTGCTATGAAGTAGTCACTTTGAATGCCACCTGGTTGCTCTGCCACCAGTAGGGCATTTTTCAAGGACTCGGTGATATTGCTGATGATGGAATGGTAGCCCAATTGTTCAGTGTTTAAAAAATTTGCCATTGTCTGCAGCAGGTGGTGGAGGTCGGTCAAAGGGATGGAGGCTGTTATATTGGGGTTTCCCCATTGGAGCATGCTAGTGAGGATCAATGGGACATCTGGTTGATTCATCCATTTTTGTATGATGTCAAGGTATTGCTTAATTTGAAGCTCAGCCGCATGCAGAACAGTTGTGTTGAAAAATGGCTCCATACCTGGGAGGTTATTCTGAAACTCTAGGTTGCCCTTTATGAGATTGAAAAGACTATGGAACATCTCGAATGCTGTTTGGCAAATTTTTGTCACTCCTGCACCATCTATTGGGTGCTGGATGATGTTCATTAGATGCTCAATCTGGTTGCTCACAAACAGAGTAAAGTCTGTCTGTGCCAGCTGCAGGGTCACTTGCATTTGTGTGAGGTAGAAGATTGGATGGAGAAGTTCTGACAGTGAGCTGTGCCTGGTGATATTTTCCAACCTTTGCAAGTACCAATCCACAATTTCCAGATAGACTTTCTGAGCATACATTGGGTTATCAGTCAATGTGCTGTTAAAAATGTTGGTGAATGGTTCTTGGTTAGCGGCAAGTTTTATCAGATCTTCCAGTACTGTGATTTCTTTCATGATCTCTGGAGTGTTCAAGTGGTTTAGCTGGAGGCCCATCTTGATGTTGGCCAGTGTTGTGTTTAGGGTGTGTAGGACAGCTTTGTTAGGATCGGAGCTAAAGTCAAAATGGATGACATCCCTGATGGTATTATTGACAATTAATGGGATCAGGGAGAGGAAGGCAGTCTCATTTTGGAGAACAGGCAGGTGTGTTAGGAAACCACTGACACTGTTAACAAATCCCATAACACATTGGGCTGTGACCATCTGGTTTTCCTGGGGTTCAAAACACTTCTGAGAATTGATAACATCCAATACTTTTGACATTAGGTCATTGATGTTGGCAGCTCCAAATAGTGAAACCATATTGTTCAACTCCTCAAGAGTAAGGTTTGACTGCTGCAGGGCATTCTGGACATCAGAGATGGTAATATTTGGTGTAGCCATGACCAGTTTGATAAAGTGAAGAGCCTGTTTGAATGTTTTTACATAGGCAGCATCATTTGAGGACAGAAGGAGTGGGAACATTATGGACACGATTTCCTCATATTCCTGATCCATCGGGAAAAGGTTAGGCAAGGCTATTTGGATGTTGACATCACCATTGGCCAAAAGCACCATGTCTAGTATCTGATTGAGGAACTTGAAGATTTCTGAGATTCCATTCAAACAGTCATGACCTGCTGCACATTTGGCTAAATGACGCTGAAGAGCTTTGAAATCCTGGAAAAAGAGAGCAGCATCCTGATGGACCTCAGCTGGTAGAAATGCAATAAGTTTCTGTGCAATATTGTCCTGCGCAGCATCTGGTCCTGCATCAATCAGGCCCTGAAGGCCCTCTGGGGTGAGGAGTTTGAGAAAGTCCTTGGAAATGAGGTAAAGGTCAGTGACTTGTGCTGCACTCAGCTCCCCATTTGGTAACAGAGAATGTTGGACTCTTCCCAATCTAAACAGAGACATGATGAAATCTTGAAGCTGGCGTATGTACCCAAGAATAATGTTTGTTGGGTCACCGTTTGGAGATTCTGTCAGTGTCTTCAGAAGCTCCATGGCTCTGAGGATGGTCTCTACAATGCCTGGTGAGGTCTGGTTGATGAAAGGTCGGATGGCTTTGATGAAATGTGCTACATCATCAGGGTGGAAGTAGCCTGCATAGGTTACCACTTTGTGTCCCATGAGGTTGGAGAGGGACATGGTGAGGTTACCCTCAATGGAGAGAAACTGCATTATCAATCGCTCCAGTTGATGCATTGTTGGATCTGTCTCATTGAAGGTAAAAATGTTCTGGTTTTGTCTAATAAGTTTGGTTGCAACACCGAGCACTGTAGAGACATTGATGGGACCATCGTTGTAGAGCAGAGGCAGCAGATGGGTCAGACCAGTGGACTGTAACAAGTTACTGACAAGGGGATCCATGATGTCTGAGTCAGCAATGTTTTCATCAGGAAGAACTGTGATCTTCTTGACAAAGCTTTGCAGGTTATGCACCATGTTAATCAGGAAGTCAGAGAGTGCATCACCAGTTTGGATATTTTCTTTCAAAAATGATCCAACCACAGACTTTAGGATGTCACTGTACACATGTTGCAACAGATTTACAGTTCCTTTGAGAAAACTACGGAGAAAAGAGGGGAACATGACTGAATATTAGAAATGGCTCTGTATTCAAAATATTCATAACAGATGCTGGCATAATATAAAGCTATTGATTGTTTCATTAAAGTCTTAGCAAAAAGGGAATGGGGTTATATCCTACTTGGGTTGGGGAAGGGGGTTGTTGCCAGTTTGGGGGGTTAGACAGAGGGAAAAACCACATTCTCACATCATTCATTTGTAACATGAGTGATAGGTACAATGTGTGTTATTTAGGCTGATAAGGCTGGTTGGTTGATGCATGTCAGCCACTGTCAATGGATTATGGCATCATCATCATTGCCAACCCTATATCCAACTTTTTTTTAAAGTTTTCTTTAAAGTAGATGTTTTGATAAGTCAACATCCTATCAAAAGTTGAAATTTAATAATAAACCCAATATTCATACACGTATAGCAATGTCTACATATCTCCAGATGTAAGACCTTTGCACACTGAGTCAGTTTTTTTTCCAGATGTGCACACACACAGGGATGTATGCGAAAAATGCAGAAAATGTAACCGGTTCCGATAAAAATAATGATGGACCATAGTTTCTGAGTCAGTGTGCAAATACGATTAACATAGCATGAGATTGTATTTCTTTTTTAATGTGCATCAACTTTGGATGAAAAAAAAACACACTCAATGTTCAATGGCTTTTAGTAAGAAATGATTAATATACCTTAACAACTAAAAACACTTACTTCACCAGGATGTCTTGGTTTGGTGACATCAGTGTCTGAGTCATTGATGTAACAAACTGCGGCCAGTTAAAACCAGTTTCAGTGTTACAATTAATGGTGGAGCTGGAGATGTCCACAGAACCTAAAGAGGAAAGTAAACATTTTGCATAAAACTTGATGAGGTAGCATTTATTTCACTTTGTTTAAGAAATCAAAACTGCGTTTTGGTGAAACTTGTGTTTGCATTTGAGCGATTGTTGTCAGTTTAAGATTTTTTTTTAATACACAGATTCAGAATCAGAAGAATCAGAAGAATCAGAATCAGCTTTATTGGCCACGTATGCTTAAACAGACAAGGCATTTGTCTTTTGTGAACTGTGCTCTCAAAGTAAATATATATATATATGACATTAAATGAAACAAGCAAAGACTAATATGGCTGAATAAGACAACAGTGCAGTAGTATAATATGTAATTATGTAACAGATGGTTAAAATACATGAGGTAGAGTTTTACAGTATTTACATTAAAGGTGTGAATAGATTAATGAGGAGGATAATATTACAGTATTTACATGATTAAGTTATTGAACATAAAATGTGTTTTAAATAGTCTTATGTACATTCCCAGAGGGTGTTTGGATTCAGGGTTACTGGTATTTCACAGTATTTCACAGATTCACCCCATGTATGTCTTGATTGACATGGTCCAATGCCAAATCAAGACAAAATGGATCATTACACCTAGAAGCCATGGTTCTCTAACTTAACTAAGCAACCTATACAATCAATGGTTGATCATGATGATGTTAGACTAGCAACAAAATTGGGAGAATCACGGGTAGCTCCCAATAAGACTAATGCAGCCACCAGCTGCCCATGTTTGTAAAGTTAGAAATCAAACTATTGTTAATTATTCGGTTAATACAACCCAATTCTGAGTTTTTTTGTGATCATCGGGACAAAGTAAAAGTGTCTGCAATTTTGTATTAGGATTCCCTTCAGAGATGACTTAGTAAGTTAGTAAAAATAATTAGTAACTTCAGTAGTTTACATTTTGATGCAGTGTAGGAAAAAGATAGAAGAAAAAAAGGTAAAGGTTGAACTCACAGTTTGGGGGCTGAGTAGTGACCTGGTGATCTGGCCTGTAGTTCAAGACCCAGTTAACCATGTAGAAATAGTCCTTTGCCTGGTGCCATAGTTGACTCTTTTCAATATGTCCTCCCACATTCACCAGAACCAAAAAAACACTAAAAGCAAAACAGAGCAACAACACTTTTAAACAGTGAAATTAAAACTAAAAGCATGAGATAAGACAATGTGCACATTATCTACTCTAAAAATAACCCTAATCACACAATCAACACTTTCTCATCACCTTTGTTGAAGACTCCAAGTCACATTGTGAGTGCTGTTGTCAGGCATCCAGTTCACCCAGTATGCTCCACCCAGCTCCTCTGTGAACCTGTCCACAAACATTCCAAATTGCATGCTGTTGTTGTTCAACTTTTGCCACTGAGAGAGAACCATGGGAAGTGTTACATTGTAGTCTGTGTTGCCCATGAGGGTGCTGTTAAAGTCTTGTGCCTGTGGAAACACAATATGAAACACACTTAGAGTTGTCTTTAAAATCTAAGAAGTTCCTCAGCTGTACATGTACAGTACATAATCTCACAGAATAACATGTTCAGAAGGATATTACTTAATAATGAAACTATTCAAATGCTCAGTAGCCTTACTGATTCAACAAGTGGCATCAGGCCCAACAGTAGAACCTGTTCTAGGTTGGAGCCGCTCTCGCAGATCATTGACCTCCACACCTCGACTGTTACAGATTCCGTGTTGAAGAGCCACTCGAAGGTACCAAACACATCCTCACATGTTGGAGGCTCAGATGCCGTAATCTAGTAAAAGAGGGAGACACAGCACCAACTGAATCATTTTTGCTACTTAAAATGGTCTTCATGCTACTGCATTCCACGTGCCACCGCCTCGAGTCAAAGTATAACATGTGACAGAGTCATTTTTATGAGGAAGGAATTACCAGTAATGACAGGTTTTCTATGACTCATCTAAACCGTTATTCATCTCACAAATAGTTAGAAAAGATACCCCGAATTACAAATAGAATCACATAGCATCGTCCTATATTTGATTGATGCCTAAAGGCTTTTGGTCAGAGAGAATACTTATAGTTTACCATCATCACCCCCTGCTTTACACTGTCCACGACATGACCTAACCACAGGCTTGCCTCGGACTGGTTTGTCAGCAATGTTAGATACGTTTGTTGGAGTTGATCCACATCTTTCAGGAAACTGGCCATTATTTCTGCAAACCAGGGAAAAATTAGACAAAAAAACAACGACAAACAAAGACAATGCCAGATTGGTTAACTACATCACACTCGGGTTGTTATAATCAAGTGTAATACATTTCCTTTTGGGGTATCCTGGTGTCAATTTTTCCACATGGTAACTCCTCTAGTCTTATTTTCCAAAGAACACTTTGAATCTTACATCAGTCCCCAGAGAAAGGGTGTGAACGTGTCCTATTTATTTCAAGGTTGTACTGTTCATGTACAGCTCAACAAGATAACAATCTTGACTGTGAAACCATGTGAGCAACAAGCTTCAATTGATGAACAGTGTCTCCAAAAAATATGTTGCATTTAAACCTCTCTTGCTGTTTTCTATTAAGGGCTAAAATCAAAAGATGTTTACACTTGTATGTTCCAGTCTAATTCTTTACCAGGGATATTTGTCAAAACCTTTTTCATTTTGACAGCAATAACCACTGTCAACTCAAGTGAGACGACACCATCAAGAATAAGCAGCTAGCTTTTAAGGTGTTAAAATGAAAGTTGTTAAAACCCTTACTGATGAAATGTCATATTAAGTCATCTCACCGTCAACAATTTCAAGGGTCAGTGTTGCTATTTTCATGGACTGGAAGCCAGATCTAAGCATGCTATGGACCAGCATGTCCACCTCAGGCACCAATTGTATGATTTCCAGTATCACTTCACCAACTTCCAAAAACCTGCCAAAACAAAGGTTCAAATCAAAATAAAGAACTGGTTACTGTTTAGTGTAAACATTTTCAATATTTAAATCATTTTGAGAAAGAGAAACATAAAAGAGACAAAAGATGGTTTTTAGATTTTGTTATTTCTATGTTTAAGTTTCAAACAAAAAGGTTGTATGGAATGAAAAAACACACAAGACATTTAAAAAAAAAATGCTAAAGCCATATCAAGTTGTCTATCAACAGTACCGCATGTCTATTAGCTCGTTTAAAGCTCCTGTGAGGAATTGTAAGTTTGTTTGCTGATATTGGAGACCCCTGCAGACAAAATGGTTCAAATAATCTCTTTGCTGACTTTATACTGTACGTGCATTGTGTAGTACTTTAGTACAAAAAGAAACATCCTTCTGTCAAATGTCTCTCATCAAGAATCCTTTCTGTGGAAAATGTCACCACAGCGAGCTTCTAATCACATTGTCTGAGACTAAACCAGCAGCACTGATTTAAGGCAATATGGTTTAATAACAATAAAGAAATGATAAATCTAGCTGCTAATGCTCTGGTTTGGTTTTGCAGGTCACATAAATACATGAATATTCATTTCATTCTGTTTTATAACCTGTGAAAAACTCATCAGAGGAGATTTAAAATGTTACATAAAAACTTTTCTTTAATTTGACCAGTTTTGGCTTATGATGAACACATTTAAAATTCCCATCTATTGAAGTTTTTTAAAAACTCTTTAAACACATTTTAACACCTGTCTAACATTGTTTCCAGTTAAAATTATTTATTAGCATGAGCCCCATATACAGACACTATAGTCCCGTAGCAGCAGCCAGGGGTTCCAATAAAACCTCGGCCCTTTGCTGCATGCCATCCCTCACTCTCTCCTCCCAACATTTCCTGTCTCTCTTCAGCTGTCCCATCAAATAAAGGCAAACATTGCCCAAAAATATATCTTTAGAATTATAATATGTGCTTCACAGCTGTTTGCTTAATTAAAAACCCACATTAGTGTACTTACAGCTCTTCCTCAATGTTTTGTGGCTGTGCTTCTATGCTACGCCGGGTCCTTGGAGTTTGGAAGCTGTCCGGTTCTCCTTGGATAGATCCTTCCATCAGTGAGTGCAGCAGCCATTTGGCAAAGTGAATGTCATGCGGAGCAACATGCTTACTCCATGCCAGGAGAACCTGGGTAAAATGTTGTTCATTAGGAGTGGGTTGCAAAATGTAAGGGATTTTTTTAGAATATTTGCTACATTTAACATATACCAAAAGTTTATCTTTTTCTGCTAAGTTACTGTCTCTTATTATCCACCTCTAAACAATGAGTCCTCTCTTTTACATTTTTTTAACACAAAGTAAAATTCAACCCTGTGCAGCAAGAAATAAGATGGAATTCTATCACAATCTGCTGATAATATATCTTACGTTTTAGCCATCTTTAGAAAAAGTGCATACAGTACAACACTGCTATTTGTATATAATCCTGTGCGATATACATCAAAGGGTAGCTTGAGATGGTTATGGTTAATGAAGTACACACTCTTTCACCTATGAATGGAGGTATGGAAGCAGGAAGCTGAGACAGGTAAACTGAATAATAAATTAACACTACACTGTATGTCATTTGAAAGAACACATCTGCCGGCTATCATAATATTAGACATGCAAATCACTCCTATATATCAGTGTTAGACAGCCTCTGAGCGAGTACACATACTAATGACAATGTTAGCTAACAGCGTCTGATTGGGAATTATCTCATCAAAACACATCTACTGTAGTGGCAGTGCTAATTAGACATGTTAGAGGTTTCTGTTCCCCAGGTGCAACCTGGGAGTAGCACTTGCTTGTTACTATAGCCAACAGCTTTTTCCTGGCCGTGGACTAATTACTCGGCACACTCTGAATCTAATTGCCTGTGAAGGGGGCACTGGTGAATTAATTTAGGATCAGAAGAATACAGATAAGCATCCTATGAGACAGACAGTAAGGAAGAGAGAGGAGACAACAGAAATGCACCTACTCATACAGCAGTGAGAAAGTGACTCATTTCAGGAGTCTTTTCTCTCAATTTCCAACTTACCTGCTTTGCTGCCTTGTCAGAATCGATCCAGCCAAGAAGCATATGCACGGTGCCAGTACTGCACGCTGCTTTTAGCCACAATGAGTTAGCGCTGTTGTTGCACACATGCTCATGCAACATGTCACTGTCCATGGTGAGGGCAATGGCCTACAGAAGAGAGGGGGATTACAGTGAATAGAATGAAACTAAAGTCTAACTTTTACACTTTGTTTATAGAATAGTAATCAGTACACAGTAAAGCAGAGGTGAAAGAGAGTTTAATCCAAGGATCCAAAGTTAGGTGTTGTTATTCATAATATGTATATATATGTAATATATACATAAGCTGTTCTTTTCAGTTGTTATAGCTAAGCTATGCTAACACAAGATACTATTTTGTGGACAAGAAACATGAAACCAGTTTGGGGGTAGAGCTACTGAAATATCTGATCTTGATCATTGCAATCTTCAGTGATGGGTAAGCTTTTTGTGAGCCGAGCTACCCCTCCACATGAAAATTTGCTTTACTGCATTGAAGCTATAGGCTACCCCAAAGATAGCTTTTTTCATTGAGCACGTTTACAGTCAATGCTAATTGTTTATGTTTATGTGTACTATAATTATATGCCATATAGGCAACAACATAATTGCAAGCAAATGACTCGGGCCAACTTCAATAACCTTTATCATACTTCTATATGTTATACAACTGGTTTACTTGACCTAGATAATATAAGTTCAACATACCAGTCCTCTAATGTTTCTGTGAGTGCCAAAACAATGTTGTGTAATGAAACCAAGAACTTCTCACGTGAGTCTCGCTCCATCACAGCTGGATATATCATTTTGTGTGCTTCTTCAAAGTACAGTCAATTAAGGATAAATAAGGTACAGTAGTGCGAGAATCAATTTGTCCTCATCCTTTCCCTCCCTCCCCTTAAGTTCCAACTTTTCTAGTGTTTCTATATTTATTGTGCTTCTCTTCCCTCCTATATGTTGTCTCGTATGTTGACAAGTTGTCAGCTGGTGTTTGTAGTGTGCACTGGTGATGGTTAATTTAATAGGTGTGAGTTATGTTTGCTTATTTGAGAATCAACTTAATATGTGTCCTCATGTTAGGTGAACTCATGCTAGTCTGCAAATCTGCCAGCAGCAGAGACAATCTAAGCAGCAGATCAAAGACCGGACAGTGATGTCACTGTCAAGACTACAGTAGATAATACATTTCAGGAAAATGTATCTTGTGTGGACGCTAATGCACTACGTGATCAAGAAACAGCTACGCTACTGAAAAGATGTTTTAGGCAGAAAACAGCAATGCTACCACCAAAGCGGCTACTTTTAGCAATACTATTGCTCGACACTTGCTATATTTAATATAAAAGTAATTCTGTCTTAGTAAAGGTTTCTACTTCAGGTTTTTAAACAGTTTTGCTATCCCCTTTTACTTGAATCTACTCAAACATATCTCCCATTGTTTAGTGTCTTTAATGTACTATAAAGCGTTATATAATGACTCGTCAGCACATACCTTGTCCAGTGGTATTTCAACCTCCTGTAGAATTTGTTTCACCGTTTCACTTAACGAGTCATTCTGCAACTTGACAATCTCTCCCAGATGAATGGACACCTCTGTAAAAAAAAAAACATCACACACCCATTGACTTAAACTTAACCGACTACATAGTTTTGGTTTTTCCGTATCAAAGGGTAATCCTGTTGTGGTTTCCTTGTAACTAGCAAGACATCATGTCTAATTATGATCCAACGAATACCCATTACTACAACGGCTCACTGAATAATCAGGGTTTCACTACGTAGCATATTCATTTTTAAAAACATATCTAATGAACATTAAAGCTATTTGAATCAAACACCTTTAAGGTAATTAGATCGTTGTGGCCGACAGTATGTTCAGTAAAGCAGATGTTGCCAAGTTACCTTTTCCCGGCCAATCTAGAGCATAGTGGATGGTTTTGAGGCCAACTACGAGCATCAGCTTCACAACAGAAAGTGGGGCATCTGCTTCTGGATATTTGCTCTGGATGGCGTGCATGGCACTAAAGGAAGCACAGAGGAAAAAAACATTTGATGCTCAAACCAGGACGCACCCTGAAAGAAATGCCTTACATACAAACACGTTTACCTTATGCTACTTTGCAAACAGCACTATAGCGTTAGTATTTTAAAGCCAGTACAAAAACAGTATATCTATACTGATGTACCAGGATTCAATTCTATTGCAAATCAGTTCAGATTTTTTAAACTATCCACTCATTTTATACCAAAACAGGGAAAGATGGTGTCTAGGGCAAGAAGCTCTGATTGAAATCTAAGCTACAAATCATGAGGAAATCTTTGACTCTTGCATTTAAATAAGAGTTTTTGGGGCACTGGGGACCTAGAGGTTAGGTCTCGCCACATGCACAGAGGCTGTTGTCCTTCAAGCAGGCAGACGGGGTTCCTGTCCGACCTATGGCTTCTTACCCACACTCTCTCCCTGATTTCCAACATGATCCACTGTCCACTCACATAAAGGCGAATCTTAAATAAGAGTTCATGCATTTGACTTACTTAAGTCGTATTGGACTCCACCAAAGCTTTCGTAGCTTTGGATAATATTTAGAGTGGCTGTACTGTTCTGTTATTCTACTTCATGTTTATTAACTAATACACAATTTCACACAGCTGCCCTTCATTCATTTTGGATTGCTCCTTCATTGAAAGTGCATTACCCCTGTAAGTTGGCGAGTAGGGTCTCTGTGCTGTGTAGTACTTGGTCAATAGAACCAGATGAGAAGAGCTGAGGAAGATCTAAAAGGCTTTCCCACAGCGATGTCTGATTCTGTAGTTGATCAAAGAGCACAACGGCCATCCCAGCAAATGTCGCCATCTCATCTGGTTTACTCAGCATCAGATCCATCAGTATCTGACAACCAGAGTGCAAAAATCAAAACATGCACAAACCTTTTCTTTTTTTTTAACTTAAAACATACATTGAATAAGAAGTTAGAATCATCACACTGTAATGCTAATAACAAGCTAACACATGCATGGGGGAAAAAATCACATCTACTGTAGGGTATGTATGCAGGGAAACACAAACACACACAAACCTGGTTGAGTGTGTTGAGTGACACTTCAAACACAGTTTCATTGGACTTGCAGAAAGTGACAATGGCAAAAGAAAGGGGGCTTGATGCCTCGTTGTTTATCATGGGGAGCGTCACGGCGCAGATGGCTCTCTTCAGCATGTTTGCTGACTCCAGCATTGTGTGTAAGGTCTCCTGCAAAGGATATCATTTAGATAAATTCAGAATATTAGTTACAGAGTGGCCTTTTTAAGTTCATGAAATACTTTCAAAAAGTAAAAAAAATCACAAAGTATCTGTAACATCAACACATGAATATATGTTCAATCAAAATATCGTATGTATGTATGTATTTACTTTTGAAGAACTGGCCCTTCATTGCTAACTTGTCCATTGATTTAAAGGTCACATATTATGCTAAATACACTTTACAATGTTTTGCTTACACTAATATGTGTCCCTAGTCTGTAGGCAACACCCCCCAATTATTAGAATAGTCCATCCTCTCCGTCTTTTGCCTGCTCCGCGTTTTAGTAAATATGCTCAAACAGGCCGTTTGGAGATTTTCCAGTTGTGGCGTCACAAAGGGAAGTAACCAAACCCTCAGGTGGGTGACACTCCCGGAGCTAGCTGTTTGTTCTGCCCTCTGAGTCTGCCTTCTGACTATAAACAGGGCATGGTGCAATACAGCCCAAGCCACCCAAGAACTTTTCAGAGAGGGGGCGTGGTCAGACACAGCTCATTTGCATTTAAAGCTACAGACACAGAAACAGCCTGTTCTGAGCAGGAATGAAATAGAGGGGTTTATAGGCATGATCAAATACAGGATCAGAGTGGATTTTTAGCAAGAAACTTCAAAGACATGTTTTGGAGAGCTCTGATACTTATTTAAACTTGTTGAAAAGGAGTTTAATATGTGACCTTTAAACAGTTATATGAATGAAGTATATTTCAGATGAAGAGATATGTTTATTCGCTAGTTATGTTAGCCAGGCTTTAGTACCAGATGTGGGTCTGAACTCAGACTTGTAAGCTGTGATGATTTCTTCAGACTTGACCGCTCAGGACTTGATTGGCATGAGACTTTTTTTATTTTGTCTCGAGGTTACATTTTATAATTGGTCAACATGTAATGCCAGTTTTACTCTTGGTTTTTGTGTTGCAGAGCCATTTTTAAAAAGAAATACTGTGTTTCTTTGGTCTTCTCTTTTGTAACATCAGAGCAGTTTTTAGGTTGGTGGTTTGAAGTTATTTGATAGGTGGCTTAAATATTTTCTAAGAGGGCTTCATTTGATATAAAACTGTACTGTTTAGGGAATCTTTATTGGCTGTGAAACGAAAACAGAAATCTGATATTTAATACATAATATAATGAGGCACGTCTATGAGCCTTTTTTTGTTAGGGACTAAGGGTTCTTTTGTAGATAACAATGACCTTCATAGAAGTGGCCAAACAAGCTTTCTATACTGATGAGATGAATCACTGGAACAGGTTTTTCCAAATTCTCAATAGTTTTTTTTTTTTTTTAAATAATACCCACATTATGGTCCAGAAGAGTCTCATTGATGTTCATGAAAGTGGCTTTATTCTCTCTTCCTTTGCGAGACGAACCTTTAAAACATGGAGACATTGTTAAATTAATATGATACAAATATATCTACTGTAATACATCTCTACTTTTGATGGAAAGGTGTGCGTAATCAACATTACTGTTAGTACGTATTTTCATGGATTCATTCATCGTGATCATTTTGTGGACATATCTTTAAATTGTGTCAACCATCTCACAGTAATTCTACTTTTGGGTCTGTGAAGCTGTAACCTTATATGGGTGAAGCACCTAAGTAGTAGCAGATCTATGTTTGGATAGGAGCCAACTATATGTTGTCAGCAACTGTTTGCGAGACAGAGCGTCTACAGCTGATACGTATACAAATCAGTGTCATGTCATCTTTATTGTTTTATAGTGATGTACCCAAATGGAAAGGAATTTGTGGGCTGAACCTTCTAGCAGACTATAAGCCACACTGTGTGATGAAGACTTTGCCATTTTGCCATTTTGCCCATGATGGCCACTTTCCAATGATTGTCAATGATTGTGAGATCTTGGTCAGCATGGGTCAGCGATGGTCTGCACTTTGTCATGTGTGTTGTGTTTCTGTGTTGTCTGACCATGGCTGAATAAATCTAAGATGAACCACAGTCTGTTTCACGATCTCATAATTGTCCATCTACTACAGAAATAACCCCCACCTAACAATTACCAAATACTTTCTTTTATCCTTAAAGTGTGGCTATTTATGCAAAATGTTGTGGAAATAATTATTCCTGAAAGTTTAAGAAAGCAAATAAGCCCATTGGTTATAAAGTGAGCAAGTAAACACATTCCTATTCAAAAAAACTACTATGTTTATGTCATCAATGATGTGCAGTTTTTCAAAATGTTTAATCTCCTAGTTTGTCCACTCCTTATTCTGATAAAAGTCTGAGCAACATAATATCAACATGTTGTTAAAATATGCTCCTGAACACAAAGTCAAATAAGTACCCAGCAGAGCTTCATCCAGGAAGGAACATAAGTAAGTACTAAAAATGAATAAAGATAACATACCCACAATGTTGCTCAAGACCTCAACCACAGCAGCAGTAGCACTTTTTGGATCAAAAGTGGAATCAAAGTTGAATAATTCTCCCCTGTTCATCAGGTGTGCTGGTGGGAAACTGTCACACAGACACAGAAATCACAGGAAACTCAGAAACATCCATGAAATTAAAACACATCAAATTACATATCATGGAGTGCTTCATGGGTACACATCTACTCCCATCTGTATATTTCTTAAACTTGTTTCTTTGTTAAATGACAAAAAAATGTACTATGAGGAGTACTTATAGATACAGATTATGATTAGAGGATAGAAAACTAAAGGCAGAAAAAAACATTTCCATGACAAAAGCCAGTGGAGCAAAGGCTAGCTATTTAAAAGTGGAGGCGGGGTTTTGTGCTCTATGTAAAACAAACAACAGATGTCGTAGGGCTGGAGACCTGCACAAAAAAAACCACACCTTTCATCACACCAGCAGGTCAGAGGTAAGACAAACCGGTTTTCCTATCAGAACCTCATCAGGTATTCAATTCTCAGGAACATCACAAAGCTCACATCACAAAAACAGATGTAATAAAAAGGTTCCTGTTTCCTTTAGATTATGTTTCATGTTGAAACAGTTCTTTAAAAAAAAAAAGAAAAACAAAGAATGTATCTGTTCTCTGCTGCATAAAAAAAGATATACAATCAAGCTTAAAAATTCAGCAAAAAAAGAGAAACAGACATTAATACGTTGAAGATGTGGAAGTTCACTGACGCAGCAGACATTTATAGATCATGTTTGAAATAATCTTTGGGTGTTTCTACAGCAGAGTTGAAGTCATAGTATATATAAAATCTGTACGGATGAATGTAACAGGGGTACCTTTTACTCCGTCTGGATTTCTGACTTGACTTTGATGCAGCTGGGTCGACAAGACGTGATGTGTTGTGACAGTTGCTGTCCGTGTTGCACATGAGAGTCTCCAGGAAGGGGAAGAAGCCTGTGCTGGGAAGGTTTCGGGGTCCCACAAAACCTGGAGGAGATATCAGAAAGGAGATCATGTCCTTAATAATCTCCATTTGGCAAACAGCATTTTTTGACAGTACTACTACATAGAAGTAAGTTAAAGGTTGAGTAAAAGGGAAGATGTTCCATTCAAGCCGTCATTATATCATTGACTGTATGTAGGTAGAAGGAGAGTATGATACACACTACATAAACTGGTTCTAAATGGGTCTTTTATGTAGCTATATCTGACCAGAAGATCAAGACCCTGAGTTCATTTCCTTGTGTCTGTATCAACTGGCACTGCAGTAACGTATACCATCTTTTGTCATGTAACAATCCCAGCTAATGCTTAGGTTCAGAATAAAGGAAAAAGAGACGATAAATATCAGGTTGCTTTCAAGTCGCTGTGACTAGTCTGACCTTTGTTGTCTCCATGCCTGTTAAACTATTATCTCAGAAAGTGATATTTCATCTTGTCAAAACAGAGAAAGGGAATATTGGCTTAGCAAACAGCGTTTTCACTGAGCTTAGTCAAGGCATGACAAGAACATGATGACAGTATTCATAATTCATGCACTGTTTGAACAGATATAGATACAACAGTGACAAATTAATTCAAATGATAATGTGTGTTGAACAATAAAGATAGCAGGCTTTCAACAAATGGAGTTGCTTGGAATACATATAGTCAAATTTGCAAGATGAACAAATCCATTTTTAACTTGTTTGGAGGGGGGGATTTTATGTTTCTAAGTGCTGATTTTATATATGTTTTCTTTAAAAATAAAAACAGTTAGATTTAATTTCACTACATTGAAAAGTCTGCTTGTCTCAGATAAATCTAGACTGTGTTTTCTGAGTAATTCTGAACATTGTATTACATAACCCAAGTCTTCTGCTGGTCATTTGGTCTGACCAGGTTCTACAGAAGGTTTTATTCCATGTTTTTGGGTGGAGTCCATTCTAACACTGTGCCTGTTTCACGCTTGAACGAGCCACCAAACACTGCACTTCACATGAGAGGGTAGGTCCCTTTTGTTCCTGATCACTGGATTGATTGAGCACACTGAGATTATTGTATTACATCGAAATCTCTGCACCACTAAAAATCTGATCCATGAAACCATGACTGAACAAACAAAAGTGGGAGGATAACTGGTTAGTTAACACCAGAACAAAGTAGTATGTTGCTTCTTACATTGCTACTTTGACTGATGTGAAATGCAAAACTATATACCGGTATTTCTACTCATAGGAATTATATATGGAGGAATTATTATATATGTATGTTCTGCTTGCACGAGGTTTCAGTACATTTTTACAAGCAAACCGGTTACAATCTCTTCCCCTCCTTTCAAAGCTCACTTCTCCATTCTCATCTCTGGTCACAAGTGGTGACACAAAGGTAAAAAGAAAACACAGCCCTCCCTCCTTACACACCTTCACCCACATCTATCGCAGATAATCAACTGGGTTTGAGGAATAAAAGAGTACAAACAACGCGTCACTAGTGCAGAGGGTATAGGCTCAGATCTGAAGGGCTCAATTTGTTGACTTGATTGTGAAAGCGTGTAAAGCGGCCATCAATTAGAAATCTCCAACAAAAAGCCTGTGGTCCATGTGGCGTATGTATTGTGTTAATGCAAACTTGAACCCATTGAATGGTAACCTTTCACTCTCAAGTATCACATTAAGGAAATCTGAGATGATGTCATATGAATGTAATGGTCTATAAAGAGACATGTAGGATAACATTTAATAAATAGAGTGCATTCTGTAAATAGAGTATCCAATGTGTTTTATTGAGTTTATGAAGATTCCTGTAAAGGTTTTATCTTAACTAGGAGAGATATGACCGCCAAATGGATTTCCAGTATGTTATATTGAAGGCTTTCATTTTTTTTCCTCAAAATGTGTAATTTTTGCACACTTTAGTACACTTAAACCCGTCTTTAAAAAGGATAATGAAACATACAACTGCACATGGACATGGATTATACTTACATGTTTGCCTTACGATTGGGGGGAACTGGTGTCGGGTAACAGCGATAATGATGAAGATGACCAGAGGCCAAGTGATCAGAGTCAGGGACCATAACTGCAACAGTAGATTTTATAAAACAGTTACATTTAGTGTGTGGATTAAGCACATTTCCAATGGCACATGTAGTAAAACCTAAATTGGATCACCCAAGGCGTTGTGAGGCTCTAATTTATTCCTGACAATCAAAGATGGGATGATCAAAGACGGAACAATTAAATCTGAATCCTAAAATGAATCTCAAATTCACTCACCGGCTGTCTGATGACTGCCAGTCCATTCTTCCAGAGAAGGAGTCTCAGCTGATGGAGAAATGCCATCACTAGAGGAGGCTAAAATGAAGACAATATAGAAAAGTTATCCATCAATCCATTGCTGTACCTATACCATTTCATGCAAGAGTGTCATTTGGGATTAGGCTATAGCAGCTGATTCCCAGCTGACATTTTGCAAAAGGGTAGGTAGCCTAATTGAGACGTTGTCACCTGTCTTCTGAAAGTAATGTAGAAAATCTAATTCAATTCACTTTTTTAGACACTTCTGGCATCACCGCATCAGCTTTTAAAAGGAATGGCGAAGGAGTTAATTTTGGACACTTCCATGAATACCGGCAACTCAAATTTAAGTAGAAATAGTTAAACAGTTAACTTACTTGCGGCGTATTTCCTCCTTAAAGGTCCAATTAATGGTTATCTCACGGTAGTTCGCGGGCTTGTTAAGGACATGGCGCTAGGTGGACCCTAGCAGGAGGCCTTTTCCATCAGTGGGGAAAACAGAATCAATTCACGCTTAAAACACAAACAGAGAAGTCCGCCTCGGTACACGCAGTATGACTGAAGTGTCACCACAAGCTTTCTCTTTCTGGTCCCCTGTCTCCTGTGAACACCTCCACCTGCGTGTGAACAGGTACAAGTGAAGGGCGTGTACTTGCTGCTGCGGGCAGCCTCTGAGGCCATAACAAAGGACAGCATGACTCCTGGGGAAACGAACGAGGCTGCTCATGTAACCTCAAGTACAGGAAGTGATGGTCTCGTAATTTGTCTCATAATTTCCATGATACATCAAAACATTGTAAACTCATAGTATAGAGGGACTTTTATAGCAAATTAAAACTTCAAGCTAGATTTGTATAGGAGTATAAAAACATCAAATGAAATAAAAATCAATAAAATATTGTAATAATAAAAAGGCAAGGGTTTTGTTGCCTGTTATATTTCTATTTTAAACTTCCCCTAACTTCCTTCCACTTAATAAAAATGCTTTAAAGTACTTTCAAACAACAAAATAATACAAGAAAACATAACTAGGCTATAAACAATAATAACTAGTAATAGTTGTAGTAGGTACAACAACAACAAAAACTGCCAAAAAAAACGCACCAATACGCAAAAATACAATCTCAACCTTAATTACAATTCTGACTTTAATCTCAGAATTCTGAGAAAAAAAATCATAAGTAAAAAAAAAAAAAATCCTCTTCTATAGCCACAATTTGTTCTAAAGAAAGAAAAGAAGAATAAAAAAAGGATCACCTTTCAGTTCAATCCTTTACAATGTAACAGAAATGATGCTCATGCAGTTTAAAAAGAAAAAGTGGTTTTCACATATGTGACTGGCATTATAAGTGCTGCTTCAAAATTGATATTCTACGTATAGTTTCTTCTAAGGGTTTAATGTATAAATTGAAGTAGAGATTCATTAAGATTACATCTTTATGTTACAAAATAAATTACTGTTATTTAAGGGAGAGCACCAACTGAAACACCATCAGGGAAGCCTAACATTACTCACTCAATTGTCTATAAGGTGTTGTCAGGGAGATATAGGTCTCCAAAGAGATGAATCCCACTTATACATCATGTAGGGGATCCACAGGGAGAGGTCAAAACGATGCAGTGAATGCACAGGGAGCTGCACACCTTGTGGCTATGTAGAAAGGATAAACAAACACAATTTACACTGATAAAAAAGTGTCACACTCAAAGACTGAATCTTAAAAACAAAAATATATGTCTGCAAGTGAAGTTTTTATCAATAACAGACTTTATGTTAAAGTTTGATGTGACTCTTAAGCGAATGTTACATTTCACTCATTCAGTCATTCACCTCTTCATTTTTCATTTATACAACTGCCGAAAATGATAGGTCTGAATTTCTTTTGAAGGCATTTTCAAATAAGAGCATGAATTTCCTGTTGGAGTGTTCTTTCACTGATATGAAACCCTAAGCAGCACATTTCTTGACAGGAACACCTGTCAGGCAACTTAATGAACTATATGGATCTTCAGGGTGAGACACATACAAGGACAAGTGACTCTTTGTAACTGCTGTGCTATGTATTTTCACTACAAAGCAAGCCCAACTGGTTTTTCTGTCTAAAGAATTTTACCTGCCTGTACAGATTTTCAAAATCGCCCTGATGTTATCTCTAAAGAAAATCCTAAATTGGCTGGGATTTCTACAGTACAACCATAGTCAAACTTATTTCAATGTAAAGGTTCATAGCACTTCTAATGTTTGTTAAAGTCTGGATGTGATGGTTAAATGTAGTGTCAGGCATACTTATCACACTACAACACAAACTTGTATTCTATTTCACAAAATCGTATTCCAAACTATTTTGACTCTGCTTAAAACTTTTATTCAACAACAAAAGTACACATCAGCTGTACAAAATGAGTCTTTAGATAAAACCCATACAAGATCAAAAGGTGGACATCCTCAGGATCGACAAAAATGTTTTTTTTTTAAGATAACAGCTTCATGTCTGGCTGGACACAGTGGCTCCTCGGAGGCATTTCAAAACTTTGTATCCCTGGTGATAACACTATAATGGTCTCCGTGTTATATACAGCATAAGGTTTATAAAACAAATGAGAGGACAAATGATTTTTTTAAACATCATGTCATTTCCCATGTAACAAAGATAATACTGGCACTGCATACAAAACTCACACGAGCATATATTCCACATAAAACTGAAAAACAATGGACACAACAGAGACAGCTATTCTTTGAACAAATCCTCAACTGAGATGTATTATTTGCCATTTTAAAGGTATGACGTGGAGTTTTTGACCACTAGGAACGCTATAGAGCAATGTGTTTTGTGAGTTGTTTTTTAATAGGTTTATGTGCAAAAAAAATAAGGACACACGTGCTAACCAATTGATCTAGAATTGGATGCAATAACACACTAAGAAATGAAACAATGTGCAAACAAAGGCAGTAAAAACGAAATATATAAAAGCAAAAGAAATGCAGGTTTCACTTCAAATACAAGTTATGCAAAAGTTTAAAAAAAACTACAATAAGACATTTTTTGTGAAAACAAAGGGCAACACAATGTTTTTCTTTAGTTAAAAACACAGATTCCCCATTAAAGCAAAGTCCTCTTTAAATTAAAAAATGCATCTTCATAGTGTGCTTATGATCTGATCTCTGAGGGCAACTTCATACGTCTGTGTTTTTTTTAAGAAGAAGAATATTTAGTGATAGAAAGTTTAGAGGCTGAACAGCTTTGAATCTCACAAAATGTTGAACTTGGAATACTCGTACAACACGATCTGTTTCAGTCATAAGACACATTTAACAGGCAGACATGAGGGATGAACTTTTTCAACACACAACCTACAAAAGTTGAAGATTGAATTTAAACTCTAAAGGAACACATGTTTGGCAGCACAGTCTTGGCTTTTTGTTCGTAAGGTTCAGTCACAGTGGTCCCAAACGGACCGGATTGCACAACTCTTCAACCATAAAATGTAAAAACTACACGGTAAAATAGTCAAGATATCTCATAGAATTCAGATAAATGTCCCTTTTTAGCACTGCGATTGGCACTTGAGTGTGTCAGGTAAATCAGAGAGGTCACATCAATAGATTATTTTCCAGTGTGTTGGCTGTTCACATTCTTTCTCAGTGTCGCCACAGAAACGATTGTATGTCATTTTGGGATCGAAACCCAGGATCTCCCTCTCTTCATGGATCCGGAAAGAGAAGGTAGATACTGATGTGCCTATAAAATATCTAGAAAAAAAAAAAGATACGTCATGATTCAATAACAAAGCAAAAGTAGACAGTCATGCAAGACGTACTGTACTTTAGAAAACTAAAAGGCATGGAAGCAACACAAACAGGCGCCAGGACCAGTTTTTCAAGATATTTTCCATGGGCAGGTAACAAAGCTTCTGAACTATTTGAGTAATTCAGCATTAAAAACATGTGACCAAGTTGGCCAATGAATACAATGAATCATTAACTCATAAATTCTTTAAGACAACCTTTTTTTGTAATCCAGCAATCCCATGTGGTTTTCCACTGTCTAAAGTCTTTGCCAAATCAGTCAAAACACAACAGTCTTTATCAAAAAACAACTTTGTGTCTGCAGCTTCATGAGGCTACGCAGACATCAGTATGGGCACTTGTTTAATAAAACACACTCAACATATTAGTTCAGAATCAGAATTGTTAGTAGTCAAATAAGTTTAGTACTAAGAACATTTATAGCATATAAAAACAGCACAGAAATCAAAATAAGGTAGAAAGAAAGTAAGCAGCAGTTCCTCTACTGTTAAGCAACTTAAAAATAGTTCAATTAAGAAACAAATATTAAAGGAAGTAATGTGAAATATATACAGTCTGTGTTTTCTAAGTGTACTGTGATTGTGTAAGATATTGCTCAAGAAGTGAGTAAAAGTGACTGTATAGAGAGAGAATGTAAAGTGGACAAAGATGACAATAGCATAGTGACAACTGCTTAATTAACCCGAATGACACATGAGCCTGATGGGAATATTAAATATTATTTGCAGTTATCTGGTCACAGATCAAATTACTGGAAAAATATTTTGATGTGGTGACAGTAATAGATTTATAGATTCTATAGATATTTAAGGTGACCACTAGAGGGGGGAAATTACTACATTGTTTAAGTTGAAGAAATGCATCAGACCTGACAGATCCGAATAATTTGAAAATACTTTTTTTAAAACTATAGACATCACACTTAGGCAATAAGCCAATGGATAACCTTTTCTTTTGATAGCCATCATTATGGCTGATATATAGATTTAACTTAACCATGAAATCTAATTTACCTTGCATGTGCACATATCCACTGGTCAATGATGGCCACTCCTCCGTCTTTCAGGAGCTCCAGATCCTCGGGGGAAGGCTCAAATCGTACCATTTCTGGCAGCAACTTTTTCAACTCCTTCAATTCTACAAATAGCACAGACAACACACGATAATAAGGCTGTTAAAGTGGTTCAGAGGTTATTGATATGCCTGTACTACATGTTAATATAGGTCTTACAGC